GTACTATTCTTGAAGTGCTGTATTGGTAAAACATCCGTGATTCAGCAATACATCTTGCCCTACATAAGCGCGAACTATGTGGGAGCATCAAATACTCCCCAAAACTACATTTAGTGGCTCCGAAACAGCAGCAAATACTCAAACAGTCACTCTTTGCTGATTAAAACAGTGAATGTCTTTTTTTTTTTCTTTCCTTCTACTTAGCAAACATAAATACAAATGGTAGTATTCACGTTTAAATTGTAGTACTCAATAGAATTAATCTTTTACATATAGGATCGTCTTAACATCAATAGTCAGATTGAGCATTGTAAGTATTAAGACTGGTTTTGTACGGTATATGTACTAATCTTTTATGAATATAGTGCAATCAAAATATGTAGGAACAGGACATGCCGACACCGTTAAGCAGTAAATGTCGACCTTGACGACTTTTTCCTTAGACAATACCTTGGTTTAACGCATTCATTTTTCTCTCTCTTTTTTTTATAGTGAATGGGCTACTAATCAATACAGAGATTCTCTTGCTTCGTTTGCTGGTCATAATTCGTTACTTTCCTACATGTCTGTTGCTGAAAATGAATGTAAAGCCCGTGTTAAACTTAATTTACTAGAGGTAATTTTGTTTCTTTTTTATGTTCTCTTATCATTACCATGTTCTGATATGTTTCAAAATAGAAAATGCTTCAACCCTGTGGACCACCTCCCGAAAAGGAAGAATTATAAGCGCAATACTTTTTTTTTTCTTCTTGTAAATAAACCACGTTAGCATTCGAAATATGATCAAACGACGATAAGGGTGTATGAAAAAAGACAAATGGAACTACATACAAACTCGGCGTGATACTCTTTTTTTATCTTCTTTCCCAAGTATGAAAACAACTTTTGGATTTTATTAGACGTCTATTGATCTAGGATGGCTGCAATGGATTCTATGCAATTTTGCGTGGTGCAAATTATATGTGTTAGGTTTGGATGTATGTTAAGAATGGATGTACATAAGAGGAAGCAATATATACGTAACTGGATAGATCAGTTGTGGTATGACTACAAACACTTGCGCGTTGTAACATGTGAATGATTTTACTACAAGTGCGATTCTCCATGGATATAAATAGACCGTGACTTTATGAATGTGTCTTATTGCATTGACTGTTTATTATCCAGATCATTTTTATCTTGTATTAAAAGTATATGAAGAAGGCACACTTCATTTTTAACAGATCATGTGTACACACACTTTAAGAAGAAGAAAAAAGGTTTTATGATCTCATCTGAGGGTGTACAAAGGTGGGATCATAACATTAGATGTCGTTTCCCATTAAAGAGTTTCAAAGGCCAAGTATTAAAGCGTACGTAGTTATCTGTGATAGGCATACCATTTATAAAAAAAAAGTCTATTAATATCCACTGGTAGTATATGATTTTCCGTCATATATTTTCTAGGAACCTATTTCTGTGTATTTTTTTTTTTAGTAAGCCACTCTGTTACGGCAGCTTACAATCGGGGAACTGTTATACAAAGTGAAACATTCTGCTTAACTCAAGATATAACCAATTTCGCTTTTTTTTTTTTACTGTGGAAAATCATATTATTGAGCCGTTTTTCCCTGATGGCTGCTTACAAAAGACACTCCTATCCTTACCTTTCTCTAGGTTTATGGCATTAATGCTGGCATAGGGTCCATAGGGCAATGGCGTTAGCCACTGCCACCACCACCACCAGCAATGTCTGTCTGTTTTTTTTCTACCACTAAGCGATGTTGTTCATTTAGACAAGTGCCAAAAAACGTTTGTCGTTACACAAAGTTGTCCACCCATCCACACTTTCTTTGACCGGAATAAACGGCACAGTGGCACATTTTGTACGCCTCCAATAGATAGAATACGTGTTATGTTTTGCAGGTAGTGATATGTGTGCGGGACTTTTTTTAAACTGCTGATGATAAGTGGTACATGTAAATGAATGGGTAAAAGGGGCCTACCTTTGGAATAAGAAGTTTACTTTTTAGTACTTTCCGTTTTGCAGTAGCGTGCTCTGAAAAAAAAAAAAAAAAAAAAAAAAAGATGGCTGTGCCAGAAACTTTGCATGTCGTGTGGTACCAAACTTCGGTGGCACATTTTAAAAAGGCATAAACTTGAAAAAAAAAGTTTACTGCGGGAGTAATCTACTGCGGTGCCAAATGTATAAATAGGGTTTATGACATGCTTTGAACAGAGACAGCAAAATTTAACCCCCTTTATTCTATTATTTCTCTTTTTATATGCCTTCCGTACAACTCACAAGAGGTTTGCCATCTGGACGGTTAAACACATTTGTCGATCGTCTTTTATGTTTACTGGAAAAGGTGTCTGATGAAGCATTCTGGAACAGCCTTTTTGGAGATCGAGTTTTAAACTTGTTAAAACGATACTTTGGTAGCGATGTTGTCTTTTTAGGTTTTATTGTTTATCTTGCACGTAAGTACAAATTGATCAAATCTACAAAATGTTTATTAAACACACACACAAAAACCACTAGCTATTCTTGGGTATCAATTACATTCCCTGTTTTATTACATCACCACGCAGATAAGAGAAAGAATGTATGTATCGATTCATATAGGTAAAGAAGAAAGTGGATATGACGCGATTCAACAGTTCGTCGCTGGTAAAACTGCACAAGTCAAGAGTCTACGTGTGGTCGAAGGTCGTTGTGTATCTGAAGATAGCGATGATAATTATGATTTACAAGGTCCTAGTCCACCTCCCAAACTCCAATTATTTCCTTGTAAGTCTTGCAGCAGCATCCTGTTTTTTAATATGTATACTAAAAAATATATATGATTAGTGGATGAGACAGAGCACAAGATCCAGTATAAGGAGCACACGCTTTGGGTCACCAAGAAAAAGAATGGCAGTGTTAACAAGTCCAGTGAGAACTATTACAGCAACAATATCAAGGATTTATTGGGCATGATGAACACCAACCCCTGTATTGAGATTACAATGCTTGGTCAAGACTTGGGATTATTAAAGAGCTATATTCAAGAATGGATCGATTTACATTTCGAAAAGGAGAGTGGAAAACTAACCATTTACAAGTGTATGCCTTCACGATATGAAGGGATGGATTGGCGTACAGTGGGATCGAAAGAGTTAAGATCGTTTAACAGTGTGATTCTCAAGGACGGTCAAAAGGAAGGTATCCTGAAGGACATTCAGACATTCCGTCGTCGTCAGCATTGGTATTCAATCCGTGGTATTCCTTACCGTCGTGGCTACTTGTTATATGGACCTCCCGGTACAGGCAAGACTTCTTTGGTTCAGTCAGTTGCTAGCAAGGTCAATATGAATGTAGCTATTCTTAGTTTATCCGGCTCGATGAATGATGAAAAGTTTAATCTGCTGTTGCAGGAGGTGCCTCGTAACAGTATTTTGGTGATGGAAGATATTGATCATTGCGTTATCAACGATCCCAACTCGGAGAACGATACGAGCAGTGGCAAAATTACAATGAGCGGCCTGTTAAATGCTTTAGATGGAGTGATTGCCCAAGAAGGGTCGATGGTGTTTATGACCTGTAACGATGTGAGTCGAATCCAGCCTGCTTTGCTTCGTCCTGGTCGTATCGATGTGAAATTAGAATTGGGATATGCCAACAAGGTGCAGATCAACAAGATGTTCTGGAGATTTATGGGCAAAGATGATATTGAACAGGATGTGCAGATGGAGAGAAAGAATACGGATGAGTTGGATGCATTAGCGCAGCAATTTACTGACCTGATTCCTGACTTGTATGTGACACCAGCTGAACTTCAAAACTTCTTTATTGTCAACTTGATTGATCACGAGGATGAAAGCAAAGGACAACAAGACTTCACGCATTTGTTGGATCATGTACCTGCATTTTTAGAGACGGTAAAACGTGATCGTGATCAAGCTTTAGAGCATAAGTCTAAATCCGCAACAAAGACCCCTGATGTACAAGCTCCTAAAGATACCAGTACTTTGGTTGATGAAACGTCAAAGAACATATAAAAAATACCCATTTGTACATATTAAAAAAAAAAAAACTATCTACTTTTTTATTTGTTTTTTTTTAAAAAATTAGCAAGTTGCTATAAAATGATTATCATTATTGTCTATTAAATCATTGGCTACTAAAGAATAAGCACAGGGGGTCTGGTGCTGATCCGAAGGACTGGAAGCGGCAGAAGAGGAGGAGCAAGAAGGAGAAGAGGAAGGTTCATTGGAATTGACAGCAGCTATTGCGGCTGCGGCAACCACTGCGGCAGCAGCTGCAGCACAAGGTGCATTTGTATTTTTGTTGTTGTTATAAGAAGAATGTGGAGGATTATTTGTAGCAGAATATAATAAATAAGAATATGAAGGTAATGAAGGAAAAGGTCGGCTATGTGCTGTAGTGGGGGAGTCCTCTTCTCGTGGTTGTTGTGAATAGTAGAAATCAAACTGGTTTTCCTCTTGTGGTGTGGCTACAGCCGCAGCCGCAGCACAGGTCGCCACATTGGCTGCTATAGAAATGGAGTTGTAATAATTGTTGCCGTTAGCTCCCCAATGAGGAGGTCGTTGTTGTTGTTGTTGGTGATCGACTTGCTCTTTTGTCAGGTAATTGACAAGGTCATATGACAATCGTTGTGTTTGTGGAGTGTTGTAAAAAGGCTCGTTTTTTAATTGACAACCATTTCTTCTGGAAATACAAAATGGACAATGTCGTACAAATCGAGCAATTAATTCTTTTGGAATCCAGGAATATCTTTTACGGACCTAAGGGGAAAACAGAGAGGGGGAAGTTTAAGCATATTTTACAAGGAATTTTTTTTTAAAAAAATAACACACACAATGATGATGCACATACCAAGGCTGACGTTTTATCTCTACCACCGTGATGAGCTTCTTTGTGGGCAAGAATTAGAATGCCATAGATATCTTCACGTGTTGCCACTGGTTTATCATCATGACAAACAAACTCCATGTATTCAGAAGTGAATAATCGAAACATTTTCTTGACCCAGAATCGAAACTGAGCAGTGGAGATTGCGGTATTTCTAGGATCTTTTAAGACCTGCAAAATCAACTTGTATCGATGACTATCTACTAGTGCCTTATCTCGCTTTTTAGAGGACAGGTTTTGTAAATAATCATTGACTATAGCATTAAATTCTTCGGCTGAAGGAAATTGTTGGTATTCGTGCATGACATGATCATAATCAATAGAAGGTGGCGGTGTGAAATAAAAAGGGGAGGCGGCAGCGGCGGCGGCGGCGGCGGCAGTAGCGGCAGCAGCAACGGTGGCAACACAAGCAGCAGCAGCATGATTGTTTGTAGGCACAGGACTAGTAGATGGATCGCTCATATTTTTACACGTTTTTAATAGTACAAGATAAAGAAAAAGAAAAAAAAGAGAGAGAGAGAGAGAAACTGGTTTTGTTTTAAAAAATCATAAAATATTATAAGGAATAAACTTTTTTTTAATATTACCATATATAATTTTATTTATGGCGGGAAAGTCTTCATGTAGAATGTTGTAAAAAAACATGTATACACAAAAAAAAAAAAAAAAAAAAAAAAAAAAAAAAAAGCCAAGGTGTTTGTTATGCACATTCATCGTATCATGTATATTTTTAACAACAGTGTCCTGTCTGTGCGCAAAAAAAAAAAAATAAAAAAAAAAAAGATTTTGCATAACAACAATAAAAAAATAAAAAAATAAAAATAAAAAAAAAAAATAATAAATTAATTTTGTGAATGATGCCCAAAGCCTGGAATAGAAGTAAGTAAATGTTGAGCACGATTCTTTAAACTGGACTTGTTTTCTAAAGTGATATTGATGAGATCCTGCTCCGAGTGACTACGTTTAGAAGAACCTAAAGAATTTTTAATATAAGCATGAATGATTCAAACAATAAACAAGGTACATACCTTCAGTAAACTTTCTTCCTCTTGCACTAGATTTTTTGGTCGAAGTAAGATCTTGTACGCTTCTTCTCCTTCCGATGATTCCCTCAGAGAACTCACGTATCGTACTGGATTTAGAAGGGGTTGGTATAATACTACTTTGCGAAGAGGAGCTCGTGGATGCTGATTTTGTATGATTTAGTAGTTTGCGTGTAGATGATGATGATGTTGTTGATGTTGTTGATGTTGGTATATTATTATTATTTTGCACAAGCGTACAATCTATATTTGCTGCATTATTAGATGTTTCACTAAATAATAACTTCCATCCCTTCTCAACAAGGTTTGTGAATATCCCTTCTCTCGCTCTTTTCATCGGAATAGCAAATTTAGGTGATTTGAACGCTGCATATTCCGCATTTACCACTACAAACAAAAAAAAAAGTCAGAAAAAGGTCAGTCGTTTTCTCTTTTGCTAGTCCCCGCGCCAATATTGAATCACTTGCATTTGGCTAGCAGAAATTGTTCAAGGTCCTTTTCATTGTGAAATACGGCTGAATTCTCTGGCAGGTTAGGGCCAAATGTCGGCACATCCTTGACCGAAACAATCTCCACCCTCCATAGTTTAACCCCATTGCAGATCTCACGATGAACGACAATGAAAACATGTAGAAACTGGGATTTGATAGCAGTAGGATTAAACGGCTGATTTCCTTGTACAAATACAATACAAACAATATCTAACAAATAATGACGTTATTATTTGCGGCTTTAAAAAAAAAAGAGGATTAATTTACCATTTCCAATGTGTCTTTTTCTTTGGATTTGTTGTTTGTCACCAGGTCTGGAAGGGATTAAAGTGGATACATGATAAGCAAGTATGTTTTCATTCCAGTGATTTACAAATGTGTATTCTCCGGAATCCCCACCTTTTGGATATATTTAGTTACACTCTATAAAATGATAACAAAACTTACTTTTGGTGTCTAATCCTGCTGACCAACCCGTATAGTCCTTTAGTTCAACACGGTGACCGATAATGTTCAAAAACTCGTTAAAGGGTTCCGAGTCGTCTCCATTTGAAAACCATTCTTCTTCCCGGGTCTGACCCTCTTTAATTAAGAGGACACCAAACTTGATTTTCGTGTGTAACTAGGACATTAATAGGTAAGATATTGGTTCATTTACAATATAACAAGGATGACATTTACAGAATTTTCGTCTAGCCTTAATAATTCATCCTGCAATCCACTCGAGATCATTAATTCCTGATCCATTTTTAGAAAATTCTGAAACGAAATGTCAAAGGTGCTCTCGATAATGGACTTCCATGTTGTTTCAGGAATTTCGTCATCTTGTTCCTGAGTCGATGGTGCGTTTAGCAAGAATGAATCTAAAACCACCTTACGCTCATCCTTTTCCTAGAGAGTCAAAAAATGATATGTCAGTCTAAATGAAGAAAGTAACGCTTCTATCCGTACCTTTGTACGGTAAATGATGCGAAACTGTCGATTGGTGTCGGTCTGCGTGTTCTCCTCGACTTTGACTGATAATAATATTGGTTCTCCGTCCTCATTGTAACCAAAAAAAGTGTAAACATGTGCACAATCAAGGAAAAAGGTGCGATACCAGTGTGCTTCCTCATCCATGTGCTCTATCGTGTAATTTTGTGGGCTCCTTTCGGAAGGTGGTAGTATCATGTTGGTGCCATACTTGTTGATACCTTCGATTCGGTAGCCTTTGGAGGGTATAATCATGGCCTTTTCAACCACTTTGTAATATTGACAAATACAGGTATTCATGATCTGCTTCATCGTCGAGACCATGTCCTTCACACTAATCACCGTCAGTGGCTGCGTGGAGGCAAATTGTTCAAGCGAGGCGATCGAATCCTTAATTTCTTTTTTTTGGTCGTGCTGAGATTCCCAATTTACCATTTCTGTCATTTTATAGAGATCAGAAATGATGGATAATAACTGTTCCTGAGGTGGTGGATGGTTGTTGGCCAATAAGATCATGGAGAGTGCTCGATCGCATTCGGTGCTTAATCTTGTGTGTAAAGTGGTTAGCGTGGTTGTGACCAGTCCTTTGAACAATGGCAGATCACTTGTCATGATCTTGTTATTACTCTTGTATGGGATACTGTCATTTTCAGGCAGATCCATGGTTAATTTCGTAGATGAGCCTTTATTTGCCAATTGATGTAACATGGGTGCCTTGTTTTCCTAACAAAAAAAAAAAGCTTTTTAGTTTCTCTTTTTTGGTACCCCTATTCTTTTTAATACCTGGCATGATTTGGCTCGTTGCCTCACCCAAGGCTCTTGTTTTTTAACCTTGATGACTTTTTCGCTTTTGGAATCGGATTCGTGATGAACAAACGTGAGATCATCTACTTGTTTTCCAAACAACGATTCGCCCAAGTTTTTCGGATCCTCTGGTGCCTCCTCTTCCTTCAAGGATGAAGTAGAAACTGACGATTTGTACAGGAATCGAGATGCTAAGTTTACGACGCTGTTTCTTCTTTTTGCTTTTGCCAAGTCATTGGTATTTTTGTGGTGATAGCCGAACAAAGTGGAGCTGGAGGTTGTGGTTGGTATAATTTCCTCCTGTTCTTGTTGCTGAATTTGGCGTTTATTATGACGTGAATTGAATATATTGGTGATGGTATGTCTTTTTAATTTGGCAGTCAATGATTCTTCCGTGCTCTCGTCTTTGTTTTTACGTCTCACGAAATTTTTGACTGAAGTTTTTACTGCGTTGGGTATTCTACTCATTCGACTGGACGTACTAAACATGGAACTAGAAGCTGACCTTGTCGAATAGATCGATTCATCGTCTCCTCTGCCCTTCTGTGGTTGTATGCTTTCATCACACGCACTATCATGAGAATTTCGTTTTTTATAAACACTCATTTTTTTTTTTTTGTGTGTGTATGTAGAGAAAAAAGAAGAAAAAGAAAATTTTATTTATTTTGGATTATTTATCCTTTGAAAGGGGGTGGGGGGGAGGGGCGAACATGAACCAAAAAAGGGAAGAATAAATAATAAAGTATCCTTACCTGGGAGGATAGTTGAGTGGAGATTTTCTGATGTGACACATAAAAAAAAGCAATTTCAAAATTATTTAGCGCTACTAATAATAAATAACCCCCCACCCCCCATTGACCGTTCCTCTTTTTTTAACCCTCAAATGAACAGTTGATTCCATGTGTATGAATAGAAGATAATCATCAGAAAATTTTGCTTACTATTATAAATATAAATGTGTTATTACGCTTAATTAGCCAAGCTGTTTCCCCCGATCATATATCTGCATACTTTTAAGGTTCTTTAACAAAATTATCAACGGCTGAACTTCAAACTCACAAAAAGTGATTTTGTGATACATGAGCTGTCTGAGTCAATTTTGCATGCTGTTGTACTTCCCTTCCACTCTTCACCCGAAGCATCTTGTAAAAAAAATATCCCACTCTTATCTTGGACATCTGTGTGAGTTTTCTCAAATTGTCTAGAACAAAGACGGTAAGTTAGCCACCTATCATTTATAAAATCGTGCCCGTCTCTAAAACTCTTTTATTTCGAGATGCACTTCATCAAGTATCTACTAAACGGACCAGTATATCTTGCAGGTTCAAAAGATTTCTATCCGCTACATTCAAATAGCTCTATCTGCTGGTTTATTTAACACATTTAACTATAGCGTGTATCTTTTTCTTTCTTCTTTTTTTTTTTTTTTTTTTGCAAATTTAGCACGAGTTTCCTGGTCACAAAGTCATAACTACAACATGCTTTTTTTAAACAATCATAAAATAACAGTCAAAGGTGCATTAAGCGCACTGTCATTTCAGCTGATGAGATTGGTGTTCTTGCATGAATGTTATTAATATCATTTGTAGTTCTAATAAGACATACTATAATAGACATGATATTCCTCGATTCTCGTTAGAAACGGAGCGTGGAAACAAAGCTTAAGTTCTTGTGCCAGATAATAATCCTTTCTTTTTCTGTGCCTGATAGACCTCGGTAATGTTTTGAACATGTTAGCCAAACTCGATATCTATACTCTCATATCTATGCAACTCTTTATCGAATGAAAGAATGCATCATTGAATGTTATGTGTAACAGTATTTCAACATTTGGCTTCATACGTGCTGACACACATAAATACATATTCAAAGAGTTAGTGGTCACTAGCCTTTTAAATATAAGAAGAAATCTTCAGTCTGGAGAATATCAAACGCGATAAAAGCAGTCATGGAGCACAGGAATAGATGTTATCCTATGGGCGTTATTTAGGCAACCCGTAACTATGGATCTCCTTGTTTAGAATGTAGATTAATTTTTTTTAAAAAAAATACTATATAATTTGTGGAAAACACACTTTAGTGAAGTCCCAAAAAAGGTTGAACAGGAAAATTGGATTTATTTGTTTTTTGTATACCTGCAGACGCGAATTTTAAAAGGACTATCCAATCATAAATGCTTTAACGGAAAGAGGAGATTCTAACAGAGCATAAAAGGGATCAGCGTGATGATTTATTGTTCCCGAGTTACGATGGGGGGTTTATACTTCTTACTGCTATGATAGACAGTCCCCATAGTAATTTTGGGAGATCATAAATGTACGTCATAATCATGGTTTCATGTTTGTTTTTTGGGCCTTCTTTTTTTATAGGGGTTAAAAAAGATTTTTTTTTTTGAATCGGGACCATTGGTCGGGGATTACGAAAGATTCATTTAATGCAATCATGACCGATTTTTTTTTTCCTTTTTTTCCCTTTTCTCTTCTTTATTAATAATAATAGTAATAATAGAATGATTAAAGGAATTAAAGTGGCAGTATGTGTCTTATTAAAGAGCGGCAGAGAGAATACTAAAGAACAGTTTATAAAAATAGTTTTCAAGAAACAAGGCAGAAAAGGGAGATTCGAAACCCATTGAGAATGCATCTTCTAACACCAATACAGTAGCCACAACAAACCCCTCAACCAACACTACCACAACAAAGAAGACATCAAAACCACAAGTCAAGAAGGAAATGACCACAAACAGCAGTAAAACCAACCAAAATAAGCCTTCAATACTCTCTCGAGCTTCTATTCAAAACATGTTACCGACAACCACTGTAGATACACCCACCATCTCCGTTGATCCATCTATGACGGTAAATAATAACGCGCGTAAAAAACACAGATAAACAAAAGAGTGACCCTTTTTTTTTTAATAGCAGCAACCGCCCGTGATGCAAAAGGGATTTAATAAAGAAATACCAAAGCAACCCAGTAATAGTGCAATGGCATGGTTAAAAGGTGCTTCCAAAGACACTGTGCCGATCGGTAAAGTGCCCAAAAGACAGAAATCCTCCAGATTTCATGTTCATGAAAAAGTAGAATTGGAAAGACTTCCATTGTTTAAAGACGTACCGCCTGCCAAGAGAACAGATTTGTTTCTAAAGAAACTAGCACAGTGTCAAGTCTTGTTTGATTTTAGCGATCCTTCATCGGATTTAAATGGAAAGGAAATCAAGCGACAAGCATTACAAGATATGTTGGAATATGTAGCAACTACCAAAGGTGCATTAACAGATGTCGTATATCCTGATGTGGTTAAAATGGTAAGAAAAGCCTTTATAAAGGAGACATTTTCATTTGCTAACTTTTTTTTTTTTTTTTTGGTCTTAGTTCTCTCTCAACCTATTTCGCACCATACCCCCACCCATAGATAGAGAAGAAGGCTATGATCCAGAAGAAGATGAACCCACGCTTGAATCTGCCTGGCCTCACCTCCAACTTGTCTATGAATTCTTCCTAAGATTTGTAGAGTCTCCCGATTTTAATGTCCATGAAGCCAAAAAATACATTGATCAAAAGTTTATCTTGCATGTAAGCACTCCTTGTCTTTATTTATTTCCAAGGCACTAACAAAACCAACCCCTTCATAACACAGTTGCTGGAATTGTTCGATAGTGAGGATCCCAGAGAAAGAGATTTTTTAAAGACGACACTGCACCGTCTCTACGGCAAATTTCTTAACCTCAGAGCATACATACGAAAGTCGATCAATAATATCTTTTTCCAGTTTATTTATGAGACAGAAAGTTTTAATGGCATAGCTGAACTATTGGAGATTTTAGGAAGGTACGTATTTTATAATTTGGAAGTATGTAAGGTTGATGGTGTGACTGAAATGGCGATACATGTAGTATCATTAATGGATTTGCACTACCACTCAAAGAGGAGCACAAGACATTTTTAACACGAGTGCTTATGCCGCTGCACAAACCATCATCTTTATCCACGTACCACCCTCAATTAGCCTACTGTGTAGTCCAGTTTTTAGAAAAGGATCCGACATTAACCAAAGATGTGGTGGATTGTTTATTACGATATTGGCCCAAAGTGAACAGTGCCAAAGAAGTCATGTTTCTGAACGAGATTGAGGAAGTGTTGGATGTGACGGATAGTATCGAGTTTCCCAAAGTGATGGTACCGATCTTTAACAAAATTGCACAGTGTGTGTCCAGTTCCCATTTTCAAGTTGCAGAGCGGGCTCTCTACCTTTGGAACAATGAATACATTTTAAACTTGATGCATGAAAATATTAAAGTCATTATGCCCATCATGTTTAAACCACTCTACACTTACTCACAACAACATTGGAACAGGTACTTTTATCTTTAGTGTCATCCCTTAGTTAGCTAACTGGGAGAAACATATTAGGACAATTCATGGGTTGGTGTACAATGCATTGAAAATACTTATGGAAATGGATTCCGATTTATTTGAGCAGTGTACAAATCAATACAAGGAACACGAGAATAAGTAAGGCTTCTTCTTTTTTCAATGTATTACACAAGTGTTAATAAGTCAAAATAGAGATCAGCGTGTTCAAGATACAAGAGAGCAAACCTGGGCTCAATTAAAAGAAGACGCTGCTAAAAATGAAGCAGTGCTAAAGCAAGAAGGTAGCATTATGATTCATTGATTGCGATACGTGTCACTTATCTATTTCTTAGCTTCTTCAGATACATCGTTACCATCCTCACCCACTTCATTATAGATTCCTTTTTCACTTTCCTGATTTCATCTCCTTAGACTGCCTCCATCTACTCATGAAGCAAAACAACAACAAAATCATTCTAATAATAATAAAAAAAATAGTTCATGTGTATAAATCAGGTTTTTTTCGTCATTTTGTCATTTGCTGAGCCTCTTTTAAAAGGAGAGAAAAAGATGCCGTATGTAGACTCTGGTGCATAACACAATCATTTTGCTCATTTTAGTGTCTGATCATATAGCCCCTTAAGTGATAATACCCCAAGCGTTCTTGTAGTGAAATAGATTCATAAAAAGCTGAGTAATGTCATCAGCCCCCCTCCCCCAAGTATGTGATTCTTTTTATAAGACTACATAAATGTTTAGCGCATCTAGGCCTACCTGCATAATCTAGTGATCCACTGACATACGACAAATAGCTCAACAGCTTTTCATTTCTCTTTGTGTAAACCTGGGTGCAAACATTCTACCTAATGAAGATGGGCGTCTTCTCTTTGGTTTTTTTTTTGTACAACTTAATATAGACAACATTGTATACTTTTATTTTAAAACACTCAAGTGGTCCTAGCTGAAGAGCTACCTTGATAGTTTTGACCTCAGAAAGAAAAATTATGTACGCTCTTGAATGCAATCACATCAAATTCTGCTATACACTATTTTCTCAAACGATTCGTGCAGGGAGGAAAATCGTTTAAGTTAACACAAGAACTTCGATCAAGAATAGAAAAAAATTAGTTCAAAGAAATAAACGAAAATAGAATATTTTTATAATCCATACATTCATTATATGCATACAAAGGAAATCATCTGATGTGTAAAAAAAAAGATATATAAAACGATCCTCTCCTTTAGACCAAACTTCCTTCTCTTTCAGCTTTTAATTCTCTTCAACTTTTTAGGGTAATCTGTGAATGTTATTTTAGAAACAACTTGTCTTATACTACCGTTATATAGAGTATTATGGATGTGACATCTCTTCCGACAAAATACCGGATTATCACAATAAAATCGTCAATTACTGGCATCAGCTGTAAGCAGCCATCTTTGACAACATTACACGGTTGTTTTAGAGTTGTTCATACTGCTACAAAGCATGCATATTATTTTTCCAAGTATATATTCCTCACTGAGTTGCAAGCAGACCCTCAATGTGATTTCAAAGAATATATCAACAATGAATTTTTTGCTTTCTTTAGTAGACTATACAAAGGGAAATGCTCGTGCAGAAAAAGTTATTAAGTATCGCAATTATGTCACTATTTACCAAGCTATCTGAATATCACAAACTATTAAAGGTTCAGAATAAAGTATGCTCAGCATTCTTCTCTGATCGAAGGAAAAAAGAATATATTTGTCGTATATTGGTAACATCAGCACGAGATTTGGTCAACATTTTAGACATGTAATCAATTTTTCACTGAAATTTAAGCAAAGAAAGGTAGATATGAAGTAAGTTCTTTTAGAACAAGGCGTCGACCCCAAAAACATCCGAGAGCTTGTTTTTCAAGATATTACTCAGACTGTAAAAAATCTCAAAATGGCCATCAACACACGTCCTACAAGCATGAATTTACTGCCACAAAATTCACGGGTAGAAACAAATGAATGCAACGCGTTAAGACCTGTTCTGAATTCTTATTCTTTTAAAAAACACAGTATCTATTATGATGCAAAAGCGCAGTCTAAAAGTCACTTTATGGCCTTTGTTCATTTAGCTCGTCTTTTCGAAACATTAGGTTTATCCTCTTTTCGTTGCTTTTCACTCCGTCGTTCGTGGTCACCTGGTTATGTACAATCGATAGTAAGATTCTTTGTCTAAGCATTTTAAAAATCAGATGGTCGGATAATATTAATATGCTGGATTATTGGAAGCAAGTGGTTGATCTAAATGCGAACCCTTTTAAAGCTCAAGAAGAGAACAAGCTCCTTCGGTTTTGTGGTATCATTCAGACAGACCGTGCTGGTGTAACAGTTTTCCAGAAAAGAATAGGCAAGTAGATAAAAAATTCAAGTATATCAGCGATTTAAAACTCAAGAACATCAAGATGTAAATGGTCGATGTGTTGCTATTGATCTCGGAAGAAGAGACCTTTTGTTTTGTGTCGATGAAAAAGCAACTGTAGAAATTCCTAGTAATTTTGGACATACTAAGCAGGATCAGGACAGAACCAGAATATCCAAAAAGTATAGTAATATTTTACAAGTAATTTGTTCGAACAATCCCACTGTTTATCAAGCCGAGAATGTACTAGCGGAAAACCAAAACAGCTCACTGTAAATCGAGGGTTACCGTTGTTTTCTCGAACGTCTAGACCAGAATTACGCTATCCTCAGCAATTACTATGGGTACACAACAACGTTTTCTCAAAACCCACAACTCATGCTCCGAAAGCTGCGTTTAGCTGCATATTTTAACAAACAACGTGCAGACATGCAACTTATAAATTCTTTGAAGCAAAAGTTTGGTAAGGATGCGATCTTTGTCTTGGGAAGCTGGTCTGCTCCAAACGCACTCTATCATGAACCAATTCGGGATATGAGATTGAGACGGCATCTTTTATAAAATCATCTTAGTCTAACACTCATCGACGAATTCAACATGAGCCGATGCTGTCCGTCCTGCCATAATTTGAGCCTAAAGAAATTCAAGCAAACCGGAAATCCGAGGCCTTAACAACGAAGCAAACTATCCTTTAACCCTTCATGTCGTGGTCTTTTTAGGTAAATATATCTTCTTGAAACAGTTATATTTGTTCTAAACTTTTTGATGTAGATGCACCAATTAAATTTGTATGAACAAGATGCAAACCCGAGGATTCCAGTATAAGCTTTGGAACAGATATTTAGCCGCCTGTTTGAACATGATTTCAATAATTCTAAATTTAGGAAACACCAAAACGATTTGCACGTCATATCCGTTCAAAAAAACGCCCTCGAATGGGTGAATAATTTTTCATGCTATTCATCGCTGGTGTTACGCTTAATACACTTTTTGGTAAGTTTTTATTGATTGCTTGCTAGATAGCTAATTGCACTTGTTTCTATATGTTATTTCTGTTTCTATTTCTCCACCTCTCAACCCTTTCCATGTAAGTATATTGTATTGTTTAACTTTGTAAAAAGAGCTCTAATTTTTGTATACCTATTTTTATTATTATCCTTAAATGGTATTTTTATTTTGTTTTTGCACGATTTTCTCGCAACAGTGAATGAATAATTTTTGAATAAAGTGTACTCATCATTAACAGTAGCCATAGTGAGGGGTTTTAAAAAAGCATTGACATTTTATGTTGATAGGGACTTTTTGTGTAGCACAATGGTAACACCAACTCTACTTTTTCTTTTTTGACAAGCGCATATGATCTGTATTGTCAAAAACAAAATCTTATCATGGGGACATGCTAGCAGATAGAGAGATTTTCTGTTGATGCTCTTAAGAAGATAATTGATCCTTTCACCTCAATACAAATTTATATTTTAAGGACATTCTTTTTTTTTTGTTGCCTCAAGTCTATGCTTGTCGCCTCACACACACCAGAACATGTATGCCATCATCAATTCACCCTGGCAGTACCAACAGCAGACATTGGTTTCATTAAGCTTCTCTCATTTACAAGCCAACGTTGTAATTCTCTTTTTTCTTTTTACAGCTAATGAAGAAACATGATTAATCTATGGAAGCCCGAGGATACATCTATAACTCCTCATGATGAACAAGACACTCATCAACATATTAGATATTTACGCTATCGATCTGCATAAACAGCTCTATTGTCCGCCTTTCTTATAAAAAAATTTGTTTTGTGTACCTGATTTCTTTTGGTGGCTTATTTGCCGGCATAACCCAAAAGATTTGGGTTCTAAAAAAAACTTTCTTTTTTTCATTTTAAAAACTTACATTAATGTTAAACATGGTCAAAGTAAGGATACCCACGTTGACAAGACAATGAAAACCACAGTATACTAACAAATAATATAAAAAAAAAAGACTATTGGTACACATAGCGGTCACTTTCATTGGTAAGTTTTTTTTTTTTTTTTTTTTTGTTAGGAACGAACAAAATAACTGAATGGGGTTTGTAGTGATGAAGCTTTGGCTGTTTCTTTATTGAAGAAGACCAAGGAATTCAAGGGAGCCAACTTGGTGCGTACCCGTGATGCTACCAAATTGGCTGAATGTGATATTGTAGTTGATGTCGGAGGTGTGTATGACCCTGCTACCCATAGATATGATCATCATCAAGTAAGAAAAAGAAAATATCCTCTCCAAAAAAAAAACTGAACCTTTTATTTTGTAGCGTGGATTCACAGAGACTTTTGATGATAAGCATGAGACCAAGTTGAGTTCTGCCGGTTTGGTCTACAAGTAAGTTTTTGTTGGGTTAAAAAAAAAAGAAAACTGGACTAAATCAAGTATATTTAGGCACTTTGGTAAGGAAGTTGTGATGAACCTCCTTGGTAAAAGTGAGATTGATGACGATGTGAACATGCTTTATCAAAAGACCTACCATGTAAAATGAATTTGTAATTAATTATAAGAGAGAGAGTTTAACATGGTTGTAATAGGGTTTCGTTGAAGCTTTAGATGCTAATGACAATGGTATCAGTGCTTACCCCAACAACATCAACCCTCTTTACAAGGAATCCCCCACCAGCATCTATCACAGAGTCGCCAAGAAGAACCCTACCTGGAATATCCCCATGACCGATGTTGAGATTGATGCTCGTTTTGTTGAAGCCTCCGATATGGCTGGTGCTGAATTAGATGACTATGTTTTAGGTCTCAGCAACAACTGGTTGCCCGCTCGTTCTCTTGTGGTGGATGCCCTTGATAAGGCTTCGGAGATCAACGCTTCTGGCCGTGTTATTGCTCTTGAGCGTGCCTGTCCCTGGAAGGAGCATTTATTGGATCTTGAAAAGGAACGCGGTTTGACCGGTGATAAATCCATCTTGTACGTTCTTTACCCTGAATCTTCCCCCGAAGGCAACTGGCGTATTCAGTGTGTTCCCCTTCGTGCTGAAGGCTTTGAGAACAGAAAGAGTTTGCCTGAATCTTGGAGAGGTTTCCGTGATGATGAATTAAGCCGTATCTCAGGTGTGGAAGGCGGTATCTTCATTCATGCTGGTGGTTTTATTGGTGGTAACAAGACCCGTGATGGTGCTTGTCAAATGGCCAAACTTGCTTTGGAATTGTAAATAATTATAAAAATAAAAACTTCTAAACCATACAGGTATCTACAGTTATAAAATTGAGTTTTTATTATCATTATAATGACTTGCTGTAAAAGGTATTCCAATTAGTAATCAGTCAAACACCTTATTCATGGTTTGAACGAAAATGTTTTTACAGTAAGTTTTCCATAACTTTTGACTAGCAGGATTTTGTTGTGTGAGCACGTCAGCGAATTCGATATAAGCATCTACCGACAAATCCGTAAGGCCATAAAGTTTCTTCGTATCATACTCCAAACGATAATTCAATGGAGGTTTTGGGTCCTTGTGGCCCTCCACTTCATTGTATTCAGTAATATTAGCCATATATTGAGCGTAACCCAATAAAGTGCCGTATTCCTTCTTGGGAGCATGGTGTTTTTTACCCGAATTGTATTCATAGCGGTAAATTCGCACTGTGGGCATATAAACAGGGAAAACAGAAGGAGCAATATGAACAACGACCACTGGCTCAGAACTAAACTTCTTTTGATCTCCATGGCGATTCGGATGCTTGTTTTCAAATTCATCAATGTCGTCATACATATTTTTCAACCAAGATACATATTCCTTGACGTTTCTTTGGATTGTCACCTTGTTGTCTTTACCGGGTAAATGATGAGCGGAGTCTTCCAGATAAGGGAGTTCTAGCTCGGTATCCTCCTCCTCATCCTGTTCTTCTTCTTCATAAAAGGCTTTTAATTCTTCTTCACGCTTGTCATACAGCAGAAAGTGGTCCATATTTAAATGGCCATAGAAATGACCAAAGACTACATCGGGAAAGTTAGCGGTGATGCTCATATATTCGCTGAGACAGCCTTTAAAGAAGTCCCTCGGTGATGGAGGAACGTGACCAATGACATAGATTTTGACGTGATCACGACGGGCTCGTTGCAGCTCTTTCTTGTACCATTTCATATGAATATGACCGGCAGAACTCTTCTTTTTGCATGATTTGGCCAATGGGTTCTTTTTCAAGAAGAACATGGTATTGATAGACAAGACACGAAGCTGGGGGGCTACATCTACGGCAAAATAACCACCTTTTAAGAAAGTTTGACGTTGATCTGAAGGAATCCAATGATCCCATAAACGTTCAAAAAAGAACAAGACATCATCGTTCAATTCAATAAAATTATGAGGTTGTACGTCATTGTTACCAATCACCGGGACCACAGGGATTCCACGTGGGTGTTCGGGCGTAGAGGAAAATAATTGGGTCATCATCTCGGTCACTTTGCGGTTTAGTTCCAACACTTTCGTTTCTTTGCGTGGATGTGATGCATCCCAGTCATGTCTTTTCAAGGTGTTAAGGGAAGATCATTTTACACCGGAGTACCAAGCTTACCTTGAATTATCACCCGTCCAGATCACGAAATCTAACTTGTCTCTCCACTCTCTGCGAATCCAATCGAGTGTGTGCTCAATCAAGATACTGGGAGCATCCATGCGTACACCGGGAACACCCATGGTACCACAAAGAGTGTGATGCTTTGAGTGTGTGTGGTTTTTGGGAAATGTATGACAACCCGATTTCAGAGTAGCTCCGTCTTTGTAATGATCGTCCAACTATAAATAAATTTCAATACGAAAGTTGTATTGAAATAAGCTTTTTTTTTTTTTTTTTTTTTTTTTTTTTTTACATGTGTGTCGGTGAGCTGAAGAAAATAACCATACTTCCGGTCATGAATGGAATCATTTTGTTTGGTCCAATGTTTGTAGATCTCGGTAACGATATCATGCATTAACGATCTACTGTTTTGATCGAATAAGCCCAAACATTGCCATAGCAGTAATAAGGATGCCACCAAAGTAGCAATGGCATAAAACACCTTCATAACCTGATTTTATTTCTTTGGGATAAGAAAAAATAAAAGAAAAAAGGAGGAATAAATGAAAAAGGTAATTTTCCATCCCATATCATTACTTTTACATCCGTTTAACCCTATTACATAAAACCCTTTTTGTTATTCAAACGCAGACCATGTTCCACATTCATCACAGCTGTCAAAAAAAAAAAAAAGGATATTTAAAAAGTCACAAAAGCCACCCATAAAATTTTTTTGATAGTATATGGAGGTGGATCCGAGGCGCAAGCAGTGTGAAGACCCTCTTTTCATTTCTATATTTTAAAAATGGCTCCCGTCAAGGCTACCACCTCTGCTGTCAAGAAGTCTAAGTTCGTTATCGACTGTTCCGGTCCCGCTAACGACAAGATCTTCGATGCCGCTGCCTTCGTACGTACTATACATGTGATTGTAAATTATTTGGTTGCTAACAACTTTTTTTAACTTGTAGGAGAAGTACCTTCACGATCGTATCAAGGTTGATGGTCGTACCAACAACCTCGGTGAAGCCGTTGCCATCTCTCGTTCTGCTGACAACAAGATCACCGTTGTCACCAACATCCCCTTCTCCAAGCGTTACCTCAAGTACCTCACCAAGAAGTTCTTGAAGAAGAACCAAATCCGTGATTGGCTCCGTGTCATTGCTTCTGACAAGCAAACCTTCGAGCTCCGTTACTTCAACATCGCCAACGATGAAGAGAACGAGGATGACGAATAAATATTTTAACCTTCTTAGACTATTTCCTCAGAATAAATAATTTATTTTTTACATATATGATTGGACTTTGAGGATATGCATGCACAGCCCCAGCAGTGTTTGTCTAACATATGCGTGCACTGACATTATTTTACCCTTTAAAGTTAGGCGGCACTTTCTTTTCTTTTTTTTTTGCATTGCCAACATAGCACTTCATTTACCTAAAATACATCGTGCCACACACATAAATATTTACTGCAACCCAAAAATAAAGTATATAGTCCTTTATTGTGCACGCTTACATAGACGAGGGAAATAACGCAGTTTAAGTAATTAGTTCAAGTCCCGTGTCATGTTACGATCTAATTACCCATTTTTACTGTTTGTAAATACATCTCTCCCACACAACAGCTCCATCTTGTTTTTTCTTGTTCCTGTAGGAAATAGATGCTCCTTTTTTCATGATTACAACAGGTTAAAGGAATTGTGTGGAATAAACCAATGGGAGCATAGGTTGCACGAATAGTGTGTGAGAGTGTGTTTAAATAGCAGGTGGCCTTTTTTGGGATCGAGAACAAGCATGTCTTGTGTTTCAACAAAGGAGGTAAGAATGGTTTGTATCTCTACATGTGATAGTCTCTGTTGCAAATTTTTCAAGATTAAAAAGAAACAAGGAGTGAGATATATCTCTAAAAAGATGATTTGTTGGTAAATCGTTGTCTTTAGTAACTCATGTTTAAATGTAACCTATATTAAAAATCGTAGACAGAACAATCAAGTAGTATCTAAAAAGATAAAAAAAGGTGTGTTTTGCTTATTTATGAAATTACTGCCACAAAGGGTTACTGGCAGAAAGGATTTATTTTCCTTTGGAGGAGAATGAACCATAGCAAAAAAAAATATCATTGCACTACTTTTTGTTAAATCTACAGATGGACCATTTAAGGTGATCTGATGAAAGCCTAAAGAGGGACGCCACACAAAATATTTTGCATCAATCTTAGATTCTAACTGTTTCTTTGGGATGCATATTTAAACAGCTCCTGACGATTTGAGTCCCTCATTGACACACTACATAGTTGAAACATAATGGCTTAACAATGATGCAATCAATACAGCAACAAGGGGTGAAATTGAGAATGAAAGGAGTCAATCGAGAAGAGATGGGAGGCTACCAATACAATTGGGAAAGCTGAGAACATTCGCTTCGTGATGTGAATGACTGGACTAGCACGAATATCACTCAAACTTATCGAATAAACTAGTGGATTATACAAGGAGGATAGTATGACTATTGTAATGGCTTTGTCAATTTGGTGAAACGATGCAAAAGCTTATTTTGAAAAAGATTTGTTAATTAAAAACGCGCATTGGGATCTGGTTGCAGCACGCGGCATGCTCCCCCAATAATCTATTTAAATTGAAATGACGCTGTAATTGGTGCAGAAAAAAAGAATCATGGTTCATCTCTTCTTTCCCTTATTATCAATCATCGTTTGTAGGGTCTGCTAGCCTTATTATAATTGCGATTACACACAATGTAGGTACAAAGGTACAAAGTATTACTTTAATAAATACAATTCGTAACAATCATGAAAAACTTATCCCCGCTTTTGATTATGGATCATTGGTTGATACCACATTTAATTCTTAGCTCCAAAACAATTTCAAGTCAGCTACTAAAAATATTAAATTTTCTTTTTTTTTTTTTTTACCTCTTTTTCTACCTTTGTAATTACATAATATAAAACAGACATTGACAAACAGTACTTTTCGAGTCGTAAAGAAATATGACAGCAGTAAATCACCTGAAAGTTTTACTATTAATAATCGGCTGTTTATTTTTATGCAACAACATCCATTGTTTAGAGCAATCAACAGTAGTATCGGCTCAAACAAGTACGCATGTTGAAAATCCCACCACGACCACTAAAAAACAAATTGAGGAAAAGACCGTAGCAGAATGGGTTATGGGACACATCAAATTTAGTAGAGACGAACGTCAAAAGGAGGAGCAGGAAGGGAAGAAAGCGAGAGAAGAAAGAGAAAGAGAAAGAGAGAAAAGCAGAAATGATGGAAAAAATGATAAAAACTCTTCTGAACACAGTAATAACAATGACGACTACAATAGTAGCAGCAACAAAAACAGTGACCACAACAGCAATAACAACAACAGTAACAATAACAACAGTAACAGTAACAACAGTAACAACAACAACAGTAAAAACAACAACAGTAACAACAACAACAGTAACAATAGCAGTGACAACAGCAATGATAAGAGCCAGAGAAAATATGACCATTCCCGAACTGACTCTACGCCCAGCAGCACGATTGTCACAACCATTATTGTTGTAACCACTGAGACCCCTACTATTTACACTGGAAATGTGGCTCCTGCTCAACAACAAGGCAGTGGAGAGACGGACCCAGTAACGACTGACAATAATAATAAACCTTCGCCCTCAGAAACTGCCTTTGTTGACAAGTTAATAAAAGGCAGAGATGCCTACCACCGCTTAGTGTTAGCATTATCTATTGTAGGTGGCATTGCTGGCATTGCCCTTATTGCAGGAGCTTTTATCTTCACACGAATGAGAAGTCGCAAAAGAAAGAGAAAGCAAACATTAGACTTGGAAGGTGCTCATGACACATTGTCTTCTTCAGATTCTTCACCAAAACCACCTCCTCTAGCCCATTGCCGAACTTCCAGCATACGATCAGAGGACGGAGAGATGACCATCATTGATTTCAGCCAAGATCCCTTTCAGGATCCTTCTCATACACTACCGTATTACAAAAATAATTCCTCGTCCCAAAACGGGTTTAACATGTCACCGTCCGAACCACCATTGAATTCTAATACTCCTCAGTATAATGGTAGGCAAAACCAGACACTGTCCATGCTTTCGCAAACCACATCCGCCACATTACCTTCGGCACCCACTGCCAAGGAACTTGACTCGCCTAATTATGAAAATCCATTTGAGGATCAACCGGCTGATGTGGTATCACCCATTGCATCCATGCCTCCACATGAATCAGATATATCTCCTCGGGGCGTAAAAAATATACCATCATCACCATCATTATTACGACCAATCCAAAGAGTATCACTACAAAATCAAGCAGAATTTCCGCCCGATTTGCCGCCACCACCAGCGTACACTCCATCTGCTGCCCCGAGTGCACCACCCTTGTATGCTTTACCCGCGAATGGAAGAACGCTCGATCCACAACATGAGGAGGACCATTCGAGGCGGCATTCGATAAGTAGTTTTAGCATGGCATCCTCCATACGTCCAATATCGCTAAGACGAGGGTCTGGTAGTCATGCATATATATCATCTCCATTTTCATAACATCTTTTATTCTTATTTGTATTCATAACCCCCCCCCCCAAAAAAAAAAAAATCTTCCCTAATAAATTTTTTGTAAATACTCTCCCTCTAAATGTAAACGCTTGTAAAAACACAGTCATTATTCCATCAAGCCGAGGAATTTGTTCGTGCATGGAATGGAGGGTTGTGTTACCGAACAGCGATCTAGATAACAATTCGTTCATTGCTGTGGCGCGATGTGTTGTCTCCCAGATTGGAGTGAGTTTATATGTACAATGGCTGGACACGCGGGAAGGCAAAAAAATGTGTTGAATAGCGGATGATTAGAATCAAGTGAGTAGGTATTTTCTTTTCAAGGATGTTGCATTCAGACCAACTCCTTTATATAAGATATAAATAGAAAGCTGCTTAACTGGGTTTCATCGAGTTGCAATAGGGCGATCACTGTTTCAAAAAAAACGAATTTCTTTATAAAATATACGATTATTAAATCATGAGAATCCATTTAGATACCCCAGTTATTATTATCATATAGGGAAAACAGCTATTTATATTGCTCAATGTGCTATTATTCGTTCTATTTAGCCCACAAAAATTTTGCAAAAATTTACAATTTTCTACATTTTGTATTTGGTTTTTTTAATTAATTTATTCTCGTTTTTTATATTTAGAAGATAACTATAAAATAGCTTTTTTTTTTCTGTATTCTCATTAAATGAAACCTTATCTTACTTAATAATTAGGATTCATATAAGGATACTTTGAATGAACCTGTCGAAATGCATACTACGGCCCCTTTGATGATGGCACCTCCCAAATTGATTTCATCGTCGACAATCGAAACGTGACCTTGATAAAATAAGGGCGCTTTTTCTGTACCTGAGCAAATATTGTTGTCATTGACTTTTTTTTTAGGTAAACTATGATTATTTCTCCAAGGTAGAGCACAACTTCTTACTGATGATATAATCTGGATGAAGGGCGAAAAGCTATTTATCCAGCTGATTCTTGTCAGGTTGTTTATAAACAAACAGACAAGACAAAAAGGACGGGAAGAGTTTATAAACAATTTAAACTGGCTTGTGTCTTATAGCAATAATTGATCGGGTCTCTTGGGAACAGCCAAATTTTCTCAGGGGCAGTCAGGGTGCGCTTAGTCGTGATGTTGGGATTATGATACTTTAATAGACACCAAGAGGTCAATACAACTTAATAACTTGAAATAGATACAAGTTTATCACAACCAACATAGTGTAAACCAGTATATGTGTGTTATAACTTACCTTCAGCTTCTCGTTTTTACTTTACCTTAATATTTCTGCGTAAGATCAAGATAGGTTAAAGGCGAAGGAGTAATGGTAGAATTGTCAAACCAGGTACAAATTATTCAATACTTATTTATTTGTAATTACCGTATTGTTTTTGATTATATTCTCTAGTGTCCAAGTCTAAAGGATAGCCAAATCACAGATCGCACATTGTGACTACGTGTACTTTGGTTGTCCCTAAGGAAAAAATGGCTGTCCCTAAGAAAAGCGATAATCGGTCGCTTTTTTAAAAAAAAATCACATCACTTCATTTAATAACTTCAGTAATAAACGCTGGTTTTTATCATCGATTCACCTTTATGGATAGTTCTGGTATGGCTCACATAACCAATGCAAAGTAATCAAAAATCTGTCACAAATGTAGCCATATTTAATTTATCGGGATTTTGATCCTTATTTTAAACAAAAAAACAATGGCAAGTGTTTGCAAGCCTTGAAGAAATGAGTGTAGATGTATATCTTGTTCCTAGGTTCGAGTTGCTTGTACCTGACTCATATTCGTGGTCTTTAACAAAGGCGGGGTAAATACAAATTCCGGTTGTGTGTTCCTAAAACATCAGAAAGAAGGATACACCCATGGAGTGAGAATACTTAGCACAAATCCAGTATTAAAACCTGATAAGGTAAATTTGATCGAATTCGGTATATAATTTTTAGTGCCTAAACGTACATACAGACAGCTGTGTTCGTCGAAATTGCTGCTATTGCAATCAGACATGTTTAAATATCTTGCAACTGTGACTCATACAATATATAATTCATTGTGAGTGTGTAACGTTCGATTGTTTAAATTTTTATTTTTATGCAAAATTTACATGTTCATGGTCAAACAAAAATCCGAAACGTGAGTCATCTATGTTCATATATAACACGAAATGTTCCCAGTCGCCATTCGATTACCGACATCAAAACCGTGATTGGCTTGGAGCTTGCTTTTTCAAAGAAAGTTGACTTTAAAGTGGGTATACTGTCGCTGCTATAGGGACTATAATAAAGTCAATAGTTGTCGATCAGCTTGTTGAAGTATAAGCATAATAAATTATAAATACGAGCAATAGAGTAAAAAAAATTTAAATGTAACGATATGGGCAGTACGTTGTTTGAGTCTGTATATTTATGTGCGTTTTAGTGAGTTGTCGCAGTATAAACACATTTACGGCGGAAGTGTGCTGATGTTACATATAATATGCCTATTGAGCACGACTACTAAAGCGTTAGATCCCAATGATCTAAGATTAACTTTTACAACAAAAGATAGTTTTCAAAAATAGCGCAGCAAAAACACAAATAGACAGATGCGCCGAATTTACGCATGACTTGACATTTTTTTGGAAGGAGTAGTGACGGTGTGTGACACAAATACAAACATTTTCTTCACATCAGTTCAGTGATCGCAATTTATCTCATTCTTGAAAAATCTGACGCTTTGGTTGTTATTACTCAGCATGGGACGGGACGGTTTTCTGACTGGATTATATAAAGCTTGTTGTCAGATTATGTGAGCCGATCTGTGTTATAACCCTTTTTAATTTTTCTTTCAACGTATCCTCACAACCAATGCACGACTCCAGCATTAGAACTAAACAATCCAAAAATGACGTTTTGCGTGTGGTGCTAGATGAACCTCGAATCTATATGGAGGAATCTTTGGGTTCAGTTATGATCCGTGGTGAAGTCATCGTTCATTTTCTTAAGGATACACCTATCCAGGGACCTATCGAGTTGCTCTTCGAAGGTATTCAGAGATTCGAAATCTGGCCAGGTAAGTTATATTTTTATTGATTTTTATTACAAGGCGTTGACAAAAATATTTGTAATAGAATTAATGGCGGGTAGCTTATTGTGTCCACCCACTGAAACCAAACTTCGGGTGATCAAACTGTCTCTGCCTCCTCCTAACTCCAAAGGTATTATGCCTTCAGGTATTCAACGATTTCCTTTTGAATTTCCCATTCCATCAACACTGCCGACTACTGTTTATATTCCTGGACGTATCGAAATCTTCTATCAGATCAGTGCAACAATTCGTCGTTCTAAAACTTCAGAAGACCATGATTTTAAGAATAATCTAAATTTAATTGATTGGGTATACCGTAATAGCATCAAAAAAGACTATGTTACCTGCACACCTATACGAATTGTCCGTTCCATAAAATCAGTTACCTCTAATAGTCTAACCACAACCAATGACAACCAATCAAGTGATGTAAGCTTTCCCGCTCATTTAAACACGCGTGATCCGATGATTGAAGATCCACCCCAGTCACCATGGATATACGGCGCACTAAATCAAAATCAAGGTACATTGGACGAAATACATGATCAGCTGGTGCATTCCTTATCTGATCGAACTAGCGGGAATTTGGACCAGCATGCTTCAATGCTGGATAGTGTGCAAGGGATCCGATACAAGCTCAGTATTGACCGTACCGCTATTGCTATAGGCACACGTATTGGTGTTGAATTGATGATCGAGCCTACTTTAGCCAAAGCTACTATTAAATCTGCTGTGTTAAAAGTTTCTGAAAGCCGAAAATATGTTATGAAAATCCCAAAAAAGCGTAGTAACTATGGTTTGCCGTATGAAACCAAGAAAACTTCAGAATGTGTGAGAATGTTATTGAAGTGGGCATATGGCTATCCGCTGAAAACTGATCAAATAGAAGGGAATTTAGATGACAAGAATAAATCTCATCAGACGAGTCAACCAAAAGACAAATATATCTATCAGCGCTGCTCAAATGACCAATCTTTAGTCTACTCGGATCCTCCTCAAATTGGAAGTACCAAAGAGAAATCATTCAGTGATCTCAACAAAAAGCCTGAAATGATGCTGGATTTGGAAAATGGTGCACATGAGAGCAGTATCCCTAAACCTGTCTCGGAAACATGTGATTTTTTAAATTTAAAGGAACTGAATCAGGAAGTTAATATTGGGGAGTACTTTAGTGGGCGCTTCGTTATGCCGGCTCCAGACTGTTCGAATTTATTACGACCCAGCATGGAACATGAATCAATCACTATCAGCCATTGGGTTCATCTAATAGTAACAATTGAATGCAACGGAAAGGTATTCGATCTGATATTGGAAACTCCTGCTCGTTTTTTAGACTGTCGTGTAGTATCTGTCGATGATGAATGCCAAACAATTTTACCACCTCCACCTAGCTATAAACCTGGAGATGGTCACCTTTATCAAGAAAATATTTGGTCCGCTAGTACTTTCTGGCAACAACGTGAAGCTATAACCAACGTGTCTGGATGGGGGTCCTGTATGCCATGTCCTTGTCAGTTTAAGAAGCTGAAATCTATTAAAGATAAAAATAATCTGGGTAGCAACGGAGAGAGTATAAAGTCACCAAATAATGGTACATATAAAGATTGTCCCCCTAACGTTTTACCTGAATGGGGACCCCCACCATGTTACTCTGAAAATTAATACCTCCTATAGATTATAGCACTAGCTCCTTATAAATAATAAACTTGATAGATACCAACAGCATTTTGACTACATACGATCTTACCAAATTATACTTTTTTAAAACATTGATGAATGATAGGCTAGTACAAACAATCACTTGTCAGGATTTTGTAACTGTTTTTTCATCTCAACAGCTCAAGATTTTTTTTTAATAAGTCTATATGTAATGTTGTTTTTTCCCGCCCCTTTAATTTTGTCCCTTTGTCAAGAATTTCATATAAAAGTAGAGTAAAATCTTGCACTAGATTGTCTTCGCAACAACCTATTGTATACAACACTTAAATGCATAACTTACAGCTACTTCTGATTGCCCTGCTATCTTTTCTTACAACATTGACTGCAGCCAATAAGGATTCAAGGCCTGAACACATACAAAAACTATCTAAGAGAGGATGTGATTTTGCCTGCAAAAGACAAGCTGACTGCGACAATATTTGTTACACTCAACCTTTTAGTGATATCATGTTAGGTGTCTGTCGTAACGGGAAGTGCTATTGCGGATTTATGCCATCCGATCGAGTTCATTAATAACGAAAATAAAATAAAAGCTTTGGTTTTATTGTATTGCTACAACAACTGTTTAAAATTGATTAATGATTTTGGCCTGGGAGAAATTGTGGATATCTTATTACAAACTGGAGGGTAAATGCCTCTTAATCTTTCTCAAATAAGATCTGCTGTTCTAGATCGTATCATCTCAGCTCGTGTGTTTCATTAGAAAACATGTGCTTATACATAAGATACTAAACATCTGGAATTTCCGTTTGCAATCCATGGAAGTAAAAAGACAGTATTAAATTAAGACTTGATATGCTCGTATGTTTAAATTATAGTACGGCTTAAAGTATTACCTCATTACTCAGTTACGTGTCGAACTTGGTGTGTACGATAAGTGCTTGACCATTATGTATGTATTTATGTTTGATATGTTTGAAATTACAGGCATTAATAATTAGTGGTGCAAAAATTTTCCTCGGAAAGATAAAGCAAGTATATCAGAAGCAAATTTGCCCAACACGTATAGATGTAACTGCTTTAGGTATCCGGGGAACAGTGATGCTGTATGAACTATTGTAGTGGCTGATTAGATCAGATGTGCTACAATCTGATAAATTAGACCAATCATGTTAATATGATTTGGAAAATTGCCATCTGGATGTCGCTATAAAATAAACAATCACAATTCTGCCGTGGAAGTTATTAATAATCTGGCAACATGATGATAAGGAACTGGTCACAGAATTATCTAGGCAACTAGGTAACACCATCAGATAGTATGACAAACACGTATATTTTGATGTTTCTGAATATATAATTTGTAGCTAGTTGTATTATCGACTGATGTCTACCAAGCGCTTTTGGAAAATATTGCCAGTTAGGCAATAAATGCTAAAAAAACAAGTAACAAAATGCGTACTTTTAACTGAAAACGAAAATCCGTTATGACGTATCGAAGGGGCCAATAAAATTATGGTGTAACTTGGGAACACTTCCAAGGAAGTAAAATCATTTTTGTACTTTCATGACCAGCGAGGTTTTGCCCCAGAATCTTGCCTTCAAAGTTCTTTTTATAAGTCATATGACTTTATGGAAGATGCAAGTCTCTGCTAAATCCGTATTTTCGGATCAAGATCTATGAGCAATTATTGGCTATCAACTTGTTCTAGAAAGCTATGTTGTAGCGCTGAATTGACCATCACAATCAGTAGACGCAAAATGTTATACGCATTAAAAAGACATGGTAAGCACCTTCTTTTAATACTAAATTACTATCTAAAAGCTAATTTCTTTCATCGTGCGTAAAAACGGAGTAAGAATGTTTTTTTTTTTTTTTTTTTTTGACGAGATACGTCCCATGATTAGCTTAGAAATATGTATAAATTGTGAGTCAAATGAAAATTGAAAGCTAAAAAAAAAAATACAAACTAAACTTTTTCCTCCTTTTCACATCAAAGAAACCCTATTATGAACAAAAAAAATGATATGCGTGTTATCCTGGACGAAGCACAGCTTTACGTAGAAGAAACATCGGGCTCTGTTATGGTTCGCGGCGAAGTTATCGTTAACTTTACAAAAGACACACCGATCCAAGGGCCTATTGAGTTACTTTTTGAAGGCATCCAAAGATATCAAACATGGGCCGGTAAGACATCAGATTTTTTATTTCTCACTTGTCACTCATTTGTAAATACACAGAACTTGTAAATAAAGACAAAGCAGGCTCGCCTATAGAAACTAAGCTGCAAGTGACTGAACTATCCTTACTTCCCCCAAACTCTAAAGGTTTCATGCCTTCCGGTGTACAACGATTTCCTTTCGAGTTTCCAATCCCCTCAACACTGCCAACATCAGTATATATCCCCGATCGGCTTGAAATTTTCTATCAGCTCACTGCCACTTTGAGGCTTTCAAAAGCTAAACAATTAGAAGCAACGAATACAAATAATTGGATTGAATGGGCCCTTCGCAATAGTTCCAAAAAAAAATATGTTGCTACCTCACCCATTCGAATTATTCGTGCTATGGAGTCTGTTGTTTCCCATGGTTTACCTACGTCAGATGCTCATGACTCTACCCCATCATTATCTGCTGTCATTACCCAAATTGAAGATGATAACCGGTCTTCTGTTGAAGTCCCAACTTCGAATGGTATAGAGGCACCAACTGAACCAGTAGGAGAGGTCAATCAATTGCCTTGGAACCGCCGTGGTCTTGACGCTTACCAAGGAAGCTTAGATGAACAGCATGATCAATTGGCCTTTTCGCTATCTGGTAGGACTAGTGGTAACTTTAACCAACCAATACATATGCTCGAAGAAACACAAGGTGTTCGGTATAAACTTGGTGTCGATCGTACTGCTATTGCTATTGGTACTAGTATTGGTATCGAATTAATGATTGAACCAACTTTTGCAGACGCGCGTATCAAGTCTGTCCTCTTGAAAGTTTCTGAAAACCGTAAATACACTCTCCAGATTCCTTCTGATCATGCCTACAGTACCGCGTCAGAATATCAAACTAAAACGTACAACGAAGGTGCTAAGATGGTCATGAAGTGGGCCTTTGGATATGAAGTAGAAAACGACGAAGGTGAAATGGTGCAAGATAAGAAAAATATTGTTCGGCAAATCAGTAAGCCCGGTGACAAATATATTCGAGAACGTTCCTCTAGTAGTCAGTTCTTGGCACACTTTGATCCTCCTCCGCTCGGCCATGTAGACAATAAGTTCTTCTTGGGAAATCATCCAGATAACAAACCAACTGTTTATCTAGATAATGAAGAAGACGTACAAGAAAATAACAATATAGGTTCATCTTCAGTAGCACTAACAGCAAGTAAAAATAATGATCTTCACGATATACTAAATTTGAAAGAATTGGACCAATCCGTCCGAGTAGGAGAATACTTTGGTGGTCGTTTTGTTATGCCCATTCCTGACTGCACAAGTCTCCTAAATCCTAGTATGGAGTACGACAGTATCAATATTAGTCACTGGTTACAATTAGTTGTTGCTATTGAATGTAATGGTAAAGAATTTGAACTAAGATTAGATTCGCCCTCTCGTATGCTCGATTGCCGGGTTGTTTCTGTAGATGACGCTGGTCAAACAATATTGCCTCCTCCTCCCAGCTATGAACCTGGTGATGGTTTTATTGTGAATGATTGGTCTACTGGTACTTTTTGGGAGCAAAGAGAGCCTATTACGTCTGTTTCAAATTGGGGTTCCAAGGTACTTTGTCCTTGCGAGTCAAAGAAGAAACTCGCTCTCGATAAAAACAAAGCGTTTGCTGCTTCTGGTAAACATCATAATACAAAGAAAAACAAAATGGCGATTATACCTACCCCTCCCAATCTCCTACCCGAATGGGGTCCTCCCCCTGCCTATAACAACTAAATTGCGAACGACTTTTTGATATTGCCAATCATTTCTTTATTACACACATTAATACTTATATGCTCTTTTTACTATACATTGAAATAAAACTAATTAAAAAATCTGGACACAATTTAACCATTAATAGGCTAACATTTACGCAAAACCCATAAACGTTTCACAATAGCTAGATCAAGTTTTTTATTTTTATGACAACAGACATAATTGAGTGTTACAAAGTACTCCCTTACAACTGTCATGTGGTACGAGAGAATAAATTCTCTTGTTGTAACTTTTATTGTCAATATATGTAAGCTTTGTCAGATGAGTTTGTAACACTTAAACGAGTAAAGCAAACCAAATGTGTCAAGTTTACCATGTCTGACAGCAATGTGACTCCACCGGGTAGTTGGTAGGATAAAAAACAGTGGGAAGGGTACGATCCTTTATTCACTGTTACTGGCTTGTTTAAGTGTAAAAGCGGTAACGTGAAATAAAGAAAAAGAGTAAGATAAAAGTTCTTAAAAAGTGAGCACCAGACTATAAGTTGTCAACTAAGATAAAATAAGATATAAAGATATAAGAGGGAAATGCTACGACGAATCAGTTATCTGTGTCTTCGAAGGAGTATAGTAAAATACAACTGTTAAGACTATTCAGTGCTGATTTATAAGAAGGGCTTTCGTACAATTATAGTAGTTATATATATTTATAATGAAACCAGGCTTATATGAATAAGACTAAATCAGATTATAGTAAAGAACAAACTAAAGATTTTATTAAATAATTTTATGGTCCTTTTATACGAAAAGCACCAAAAAGCAGTCAAAAAAATTAAGACATCTGAGGTCAAAAGGGACCAACAGAAGAAGAAAAAGGTGGTGTAACATCACCTCAATATAATACTTCAATTATTATGTAGTTGGTCTAAATTTTATTTAATTGGTTTCCGTCCTTCTTCCTGGTAAATATCACCTCAATGAATGTCAGTTGATTTTTGTAACGTCTACCAATATGCATGATATTGTAACGAGATTCTAACTGCCCTTAAAATAAACAAATACTTTTATATCACCAATCGTAAATCATTAGAAAAATCGATTTGTGAGAGATAAATAGTTAGATTTATTAAACGAGGAATCGTATCTAATTTATAAACAGGTCGAGCAATACAATATACTACTCGACATATCACGTAACAGTTTATATTAAAACACTTTAGACAACGATCATAGCGGGTAATGCTATTACTTCATCTTGATACGTTCTTACTATATGGACCAGCTAAAAACGCTACATGCACCACAACCCCTTAAATAATCCACAAAATGTAAAAATAGATTGTTGCAGGCTGCGAGATTCGAACTCGCGCCACTTGCGTGAATACGACCTGAACGTATCGCGTTAACCACTCCGCCAAACCTGCTGGTCCTCGTCGGTTTTTTAATTACAATATATATGTTGCGTGCACTAAACAATATTTTCAGTCACGTGATTATCACGTGACAGGTTATTTTACGTTAGAATAAATATTCTTTAAATTTTTAATTAATATAACATCCTTGATGGTCTAGTGGCTAGGATTCGTCGCTCTCACCGACGCGGCCGGGGTTCAATTCCCCGTCAGGGAAATACTTTTTTGCTTTTTATCGCTGAGTAGTGTATGTAGTCCATGCTATTTTTGCGGATATTCTATCTAACATAGTATTGCTACACTATTTCACTCCAGTGTTTATGACCTTTTAAAAGCTTAGTATACTGTACTCTAATTTGGGAATGAATATCATTATTATTTTGCTGAAAGTGAAGTTGACGTTTCAGCGTTAAAGGCGTAATGTATTAAATAACTAAAGACCAAAGCTAACGCTCTTTCCAATGTTATTGTTTGTGGAGCAGTTTCAGTATAGTAATAGCTGTTTTTATGATCTGATTAAAGCTTCAAACATATCTTGGGCGTTCTATATATAGTGACAACTAACCGGAAAATAGAATAATTATATCCCTCAATATTCAGAACACATCTTTTTACGGATATAGATATGCGCTTTCATCACTTTTTCACAAAATTTTATTATTTATCTAAGAAAAAGGGGTCTATTATAGTTAACCTTTTAAAACTTACCATTTTTTTTTACTCGGATAAAGAAGTGGGCGGGCTTATTTATAAGAAGGAATAGTTTTAAATTAGTATAAACGTAATAATATTGACAGATCTAAATAAATGAAATCATCCCTAGAATACATGTTATGTTACACATGAAATGTTTTTGCTAGTGATTCAGCAATATAATCATTAATATAAACAAATCAAGGATCACAAAGCCTAAAACCTCACGTAGGTAGATATAATGGATTGAAAATTTTACCTAGACGTACGAGTAAGAATAGGTGGTTCCTGGCGAGCTCATCCGCATTAAGTCCAGTGTGAGTAATGGTAGGAGTAACTTGATTTTGCTTCAATAGAATTCTCAGTTCCTGAAATTTAAGCGAGTACGTCTTTTACAGTATTAACTTTGGTAAGCTCTTCTCCCGTGCTTGGATTGCTCAATATGTATGAAAGTTGTTTTTTGTAACACTATAATTCGCAATTTCGCGTCCAACATTCCACATTTTCTTTTTTATTTTGACACTATAATTTCAAATGTATATTTAACAGTCGTCGGTAACTTGTAATAGTTGGTTAATTCTTTGTGCACTACTTGCCAACCGTATCATAAATGAATTGCTGCGGGCTATATACTATAAAAATTTTCTTAACCTTTTGAAAAACGCAGATTATGAACCCATCTTTTTCGATCAGCTATTCAAACAAGGTATCAGTGTAAAGTTTGAGCTCAAATTACACAGCAACGCTCTTCAGTGCTTTTTGTTTGTGTTGTGTAAGCATTTTCAAGCGCTAGAGTCATCTGGATTCCTATTTTTGTAAACTAGTAGTTGCACCTGGATCTTTGTTCTGAAAATACCTATCTAAAGTTTCTGCTAAGGGTGAATAACCCATAAAGTAAATACGCTGAGCCTCCTATGAGTCTAAAGGTGTTTTTCGTTTTTTATTCTAACTGAGAAATATGTATTGTATTTAAGATGTTAACAAAGGTGTAATCACACCCTTATTTAAAATCAATAATATCCTGGGAGCGCATGATACAAAAGTAGTGTGCTTATAGTGAGATCCACAGAAAATTCAAAGATAAATCTTGTTCCGTTTTATTTGGTAAAAATCTTTACTTAATACTGATTGGTGATTATGCGGATATTAATTTCGTGCATAACATGTTGTAATGAAGAAGGTTAAATGTCTATTTATTATTAAACTCCATTTGAGTTACTAATTAACACGTTGGTTATTGCAAGGACAAAGAGTTATAGCCGGTAGCAGATCCAATAGCCGGTTTCAAACAGCAGTAATAAAATGAGTTTGACGGAGTTAACTGATTTTAAGCTTGAAGGATACGGTCACTGACATACAGATTATGAAGGCATGAGACAAACAAGGGGAAAGGAAGGGCTGAAATCTTTTAATTAAAATCTGGACCCATGAATAGAGATAAAGCTTTTAGCCGGCTTGTTTTTTTTCGCCAATGCCATTATGTTTGTTGACAAGACCAAAAAAAACACACTTCTTCTTATTCTATCTGATGTCATTGACAGACTATGTGCAACTGATTTTAAGGGCTAAAGTTTATACGTCTAAAGTTTTTTTTTTTTTTTTTCAATTAGAAAATATTACGGGTAATTGAGTTTTAATAAGACCGATGCAATTAAAATGAAATACATAAAATGAGATGTGTTTGCCATCACTCGATATCCATGTGTGCGCGAACCGAATCCATTGTTTCCAAAAGAAAAAAAAACTGTGGTACAGACATAAGTTTACATAAGCAAATAGATAATTAAGAAAAAAAGGTCATCGTTTGGGACATAACAAGAAAGGGAGGGGGCGAGGCGAGGCGATGCGAGGCGTTGTTGATGTATTTTTGGGCGTTTTATTTTATTATTTGCTGTCAAAAAAAACCAACCTATAAAGGGACTAGGATGCCCTTGACAATACCGTTACCATAAAAAAAGATAAATGCGGAGGACCCGATGATGATGAGCCTCTATTTGTTGTTTACTTGTAAAACCGTGTTTTTTTTGGTGATCTTTTTCTTCCTCATGGAAGAGCCTTTTTAAGTTAGAAATTTAAATCACTATAAAATTCTAAATGGTCAATAAACGCCATTAGAAAAATAAACAAACATGTTGGCAATAATAATAGAATAATAATATATTTCAAAAAAAAAAAAAAAGATATTTGTACAATTAAGAGAGAAAAGGGATGTATGTGCAAATAAAAGAAGGGGAAGGGTTTCATATATGAGTGATGATAAAGAAATGATGATTATGCTAGGTAATGAATGAAAGAATTATATGTATATTTTGTGTTTGTTATTGTTTATGATACAGAAATTACTTGCTGTTGTTGTTGATAATATTTCTCAAAACGTGTTGAAGGATTTTTAGAGTATTGACAATACCAGACTTGATCAATACTTTCATCTTCCTCCCTTTTTTGCATCTTTCGGCTCGTGCTCTTGTTAAAGAATTTCAAGACACGCTTTAACCAAGGTTTCTTTGTTGCTTCTTCAGTATTGTTTAATGTAGAATTGGAGACAAAAGAGGAAGAACGACGCAAGAAGCGAGGCTTGTTGTTACTTTTAGAGATAATAAATGTGTGTTCTAGTCGAGCCGGTAACGATCTTCTTTCCCAAGGAAACGAGGATAAGCTGTGGTTGCTGTGGATGTTTGTTGTAGTGGTGGTAGAATGGGGTCGGGAAATGAAATATTCAGATTCGGGTGGAATGCTTGACAAATCGGCCCGAGAGGTCGATGAACTTACTGTTGATGAGTGTAGATGGCGATATTGAATTTGTTCGGCTGTCGGAAGAAACATGGAATCGTTGTGATACGGAAATGGTAGGACCCGAGGAGAAGCCACAACAATATCTGGTTGTGGGGGACTGGATTGACATCGCTCACGGTATACTGGCTGTCTCCATTGATGGATTTCGTGACAATATCTCTGTAATATCTCATTTGGAACAGATTCCTTTTGTTCCATTGTATCTTGAAAGTTCATCAAGTTCTCTCTGGTCAATGGAAGTGGTGGTTGGAACGAGTTGTCGTGAATTGATATTGATGGATCCATTAATTTAAGTATTTAAATGTATATAAAGGAGAAAAGAAAGAGAGTACAAATAAGAAAAAGATGAAGGCTTTTTATAATAATTTCTTGTGTTCCTGTTATTTAAGGATGGGGGAGCGTCTCTCGCATCGTTTACATGTTAGGAGGTGGTGATATGAACAAATGGAATTACTAAATGAGTACAAAAACATAAAAAAGGACCGGGAGATGAAAATAAAAGGGGCAGAAAAAAAAGACTTTTCAGTAGAAACTTGTGTTAGAACTCCCGAGTAATTTAAAACGTAACACCAATTGAATAAAGTGTTGTTAAACCTTCCTACGGAGGAGGTAAAACCCACAAGAGAATTCTTTGTGTTTGATCGTTGAATAGAACATGATTTGATGCGATCTACTAACAACATGGGCCGTTAAACAAAAACCTTAGGTACTCCTGGATCTCCTTTGTATCTTTTATCATTTTCATGTGAGTGGTCCAGACTCTCTCTCTCTCTATTTTTTTTGTCTTACATAAAACCTTAAATTCTTTTTTTTTAAAGTTGCTTCTCAAGATACAAGCTTATAATTCAATTGCTTGGTCAATGCTATTCACATACAACGAATTAAATTGTGTTGTAATACTCACAATCATATAGTCCTAAAAAAAGGGTCCGTGCACCATCTATTTTATGTAAATGAATTAGCACTGTAAATATAAGAAAAGGTTCTGGACTATTTGTTCATAGAAGGAGATAATAAATAAAGAGAAAAAGTTAAAGGGGACAATGATGCTGTAGTACTAAGAGAGGAGGAAAAAAAAAAAAAAAAAAAACTCGCGGAAAAATCTCTCGGAAGTTCTGCAGTAGGCAATTCCCATCATAATTTCAACCCCCTTGATTTTGACATATGCTTCAGATAAGAATCGGTCGGTTTGTCGGCTCGGCTGCGATAAATAAGGTATAAAATCCTGCTTCTAAGGGTATACGGATCTTTTATGTGTGGTGGTATAAAAAAAAAAGTCTATTTGTTTTATTAATTCTTGGTTTATTGTTCCATTAAATCCATGCTGTTCGCGGCCTTCACGTTCTTTGAATCGATCTTCTTCTCAACTGGCATGATTTTCTGTAATCTGATGGTAGTCATACGAGGCATACTGTTTTTATCTCCATCCCATTCTCTTAATAATTTCAATGTTTTACCGTTAGTCATATCAGGTAATTCTAATAATCATAAGATTTTAGTATTTTTTTTCTTTCAATCAAAATGTCTACTCTAATTACCCATGCCGGATATGTATTCGTTGGACTCACTAATCCTCAAAGCTTCTAATTGATCCTGACGAGGCCCTTTCGGTTTTTTGTGTCCCTTATATCTCTCTTGCTCTAATTCTGCAATTTCATCATCATGACGCACAAGATAAGCTTCAATTAATTCATGCATCTCGGCTTTGGTTGCTACAGTGTTATCTTCTTCGAATGCATATCTAAACCAAATCCATCTTTCACCTTTTTTTTTATAAAATATCTGTCAATTCTCATACGCAAATCTTAAACACTCTACCCGCTTGTTTTTTACCTATAGGATTATTTGCTTTCTGAATCTCTTTTTTGGCCAATTTGTCCTTGCGTTGATAAACTCGAGAGATCTGTTGTGCCTTACGAGAATATGGGTGAATGGCTTCTCTGTTCTTGATCGTCTTCAAGGTAATTCTTCTGTTTCCCTATAAAAATATAAGAACGTGCCCGTGTGTGTGTTGAAGCAGATTTAATTTGATCCTACCATTTTAAATGTTAATTCACAAAAGCTTTTTGTATAAAAAAAGCCACGGATCATTTTGGGTGCTTTTTTTTTATTGTCTGTCCGACGGTCACATCAATTCCTTAAAGAAAAATAGCAGTCCCAAAACGTCTAGTTGTGTCAAAAGCAGTGCTTTTTTCCAAAGATTCACCGTAGAAATTATATTGAAGAACTGCATTAGTAATATCAGCAGAGAAGAGTCTGAAGTGGCGGCTTTAACAATTGGCCATCTTCCGCACTTTTTACTGATTATATTTTCATGCTCAATGGATATCAAAATTTATGAAAAAAATATTCCATAATGCCTTGGTTTACTTTTAGAGCAATAAGGTTGACGATCCAGCACTGTATCATATACTTAACAAATAATATTTGTTAAATAATGATAATTGAGAAGATATACCCTGGATTTATAAAGATCCTTTTCCCGCTTTAAAACTTGCTAGAGAGACCTATCAGTCTTTTGGACCATCCTTTTTTTACTACAGTAGTACCTGCATTGATGACAGTCCGGATAAAAGGCCAAGGTGCAGGCATTACAGAAGATACGTCAAGAATTATCTGATTTTGAAGTGATCCAGAAGTTATAAAAGAAAATGAAAATGATCAACTAGCTCTAAGAGAAGAAATTAATGTTTTTGAGAAAATACTGTATTTACTACTATTAAATCTAGTGCCATTTGACCATACTTCATAAAATTCACATATGAAACAATCTTCCGTCACGACCTGTCTACCCCTTTTTATCATTTAATTAAGTCGTAGCTATCACTAAGAAGAGGTGCCTTTCTTTGTGCTAGTGGTCTTAGATAATGTATTGCTGTGGATCATTCCATTTATCATTTATTTTTTATTATTTAACCTTTAACAAAGATGCTAAGTTCGATTTTATCAAGTTCTCTGATTTATTTATTTGAATTATTGATTAAATACTCTCTTTCAAAGTCTTAATCCAATAGTTAATCAGTATAATCCCTAAATTATTGAATCTATAATTGCTTGTCAGCAGCTTGCCAAACTATTTGTACATTGAAGTTAATTTATTTTCAAAATGCTGGGCAAGTCAGTCTCAGTCGTTTGACCAAATTAGTTCCAGTATTCTAGGCAATTTAACCTCACGCAAATGCCCACACTTTTCAAAAATACGGTAAAATAAGAATGGAAGCACTTTGTCTTTTAGAGCATATCGCGAAAGTTTATGCGAATATATCCACGTTTCACACGCAGCTTTGCAGATTATGTAACCTTTTTTCGTTTTTTTTAAAGGACAGCCAATTCATAGTTGGTTTCACATGCAAAAATACATACTTGCAGCTAGTTTTTCTCAGAATTTTCCCCACACATATTTTGTCTGCTTTCCACATGTCTAACAGTAACAAGCAAGCAAAGAGAAGATTAAAGCAACTTGGAGCAACATTGAACCCGTCCAAAGCAGGCTGGTCCGATTCCGAGGACGAGGATCTTACTAAACAAGGTAGCCTTTTTTTTTTTTCAACGACATTAAATAAATATGCATAATGCTTAAACCCATTATTGAAATAGTTGATGTCAAATCTGTTCGAATTGGCGATATCGTCATGCAAGTTTACCCTGCTGAAAATCCAGAATTGGTGCCTGAAATCCAAGGGCCCTTTTACGATGGATCTCAGGTAATTTAAAAAGTCAAAGCTTTTAACATGACTAATATTTTTTTCTTCTTTATAGGATATTTTGAGACATTTAAGATGGTAAGACACAGTTATCCCAACGAGTGTGTATGTCTTTTTTTATATTAATGATTGTATATATATATAGGATTATGCAAAAGGACAAAGTAAAATAACAATCATTCATGCATTTAAAGACACGCAACTTATAAATATTCCATAATTAGTTGGGACAAGATATCTTTTTATTGGGTCCTCCTGGTCCATTGCGTCGTAATCTAATTATGAAGTATGCAGAAATGACACAACGAGAGTAAGTAAATTGTATTTAAAAGAAAAAGCCAACAATCCTGAAACTCCTTTTCTAGGATCGAATATGTAGCATTATCCAAAGATGTGACAGATGCCGATTTGAAACAAAGAAGAGAACTCACGAATGGAACATCATTTTATGTAGATCAAGCTGCTGTCAGAGCTGCAATTCACGGTAGAATTCTTGTACTGGATGGTATTGAAAAGGCAGAACGTAATGTGTTACCCATCTTAAATAATCTGTTGGAGAATCGTGAAATGTCACTTGAGGATGGACGTTTCTTAACTACAAAAGACGTTTCCAGTGACACCAAGTTTGAGAAAGTGAATCCCCGATTTTTGGTCTTTGCATTAGGTATACCAATGATATAAATGAAATGATTGAGAGAGAAGATTATATAAATTGACATTTATTATTTAAGGTTTACCTGTACCACCCTATGTTGGTTACCCACTTGATCCCCCGCTTAGATCCAGATTTCAAAGCAGAGACATTAAAGCACCTGAATTCAAATCACAAGTAGACCAAATGCTGAACTTGATCACCAATAAGAATGTATCCCGTGAATTAATTGAACGTTTGATATCAATCAGTTTAGTATTAGGTGTACAAAACGAAGGTCGTAATACGCGTGAAATTGAAGTACCTGAATTTCCCATGACCGTCGAATCTTTAGCCAACTTATTATCTATTGTACCCAATGTCAATCCACGTTTCCTTGTTGATATTTTGTACCCTTATACACTTTTACCTACTTGCGACCTTGAGCAGTTAAGTGTGATTGAATCGGCATTTAGAAGATTTGCTGTCAAATCCGAAGTGGTTGAAGCTCACATGGAATCTCGTCAAACTTCTTCAGGTTATTTAATCGAGACCATCAATCCAGTAAAGCCAAAAGACACTGCCCAAAGAGCCATCGCATTATTTTCATCAGCACAATTCGGCCCCCTCGGACTTCCTATTTATTGTGGACCCTCTGCATTTAGCCCTGCTGAATACTTCATCGAGACTCCATATCATCGTGAAATTTTCTCTGCCATGGTTTTGTTGCATGCGGGCGGAAAAGACATCTGCTTGATTGGTACATATAAAGGTGTTGGTAAATCTGCGCTTGTCCGACATTTTGCCCGCAATCTGGGCTATACTATTGATTACATTCCCCTTTACCGTGATATGTCTTCTCGTGATCTTTTACAACGTCGTTCTACTACGGCTAAAGGTGATACTGTTTGGGAAAACTCGTTACTCGTGGAGGCGGCTATTCATGGTCATTTAGCTGTACTAGATGGCATTGAAGCTCTTTCATTTGGTACTTTGAACACACTACAACGACTTTGCTCAGATCGTGAAACCCAATTACCTGATGGTACACGTTTAATAAGTGAGGCGCGCTATATTAAACTTTTGAAGAAACAAACTGTGGAGGAACTCGAGTTAAAACGTGTATTCCCTATTCACCCATCTTTCCGTATCATGGCATTGGCTAGAGCTGGTACCAGTGGACAATCTGATACCAAGGCAGGCTCTTGGTTAAGCGCCGAAATTTTATCCATGTTCCATTTTATTGTGGTTGATACCTTGCCATCTCATGAAGAACAACAGGTTTTAACTGCCCTTTCACCCGGTGTAGATGAAGATAAATTAAAACAATTGTTGACTTTCTCTAGAAGATTACGTCGTGATAAAGATGAGACTATCCGCATGTTATCTAGTACATTGTCCACACGTCAATTGATTCGTATGTGCCGTCGTCTAGCTTACTTTGAAAATGAGAATCTCTATGTTGCTATTCATAAAGCCGCTTTGTCTCGCTTTATGCCTACAGTAGCTCGTGAAGCGCTTCATGCTTTGATGATTGCTAACGGCATCTATCCACCCAAAGAAGATTCCGTTGACCTTGTGATTGAGGTTTTACCATCGCGTGAAAATCCCGAGCAAATTCGTATTGGCAATGTTGTAGAAAATGTATTCCAGGGAGGTGATCCTATGCTAATTCCTAACGTTGTCTTCCATGAAAACCCTGCTCATACCCAAATCTTGAAAGAAATGCTCAAAGATTACCAACTAGGAGATCATTTATTACTGATTGGTAATCAGGGTGTTGGTAAAAACAAATTAGCAGATTATTTCTTACAATTGTTGAAGTTGCCACGCGAATATATTCAATTACATCGTGATAGTACTGTACAAAGTTTGACTACAACTCCTGCTATTGCCGATGGTGTTCTGAGCTATGAGGATTCTGCTCTTGTAAAGGCAGTCCGTGATGGTACCATCTTGGTTGTGGATGAAGCTGACAAAGCCCCTACTTATGTCACAGCTGTTCTCAAGAGTCTGGTTGAAGATGGACAAATGGTACTTGGCGATGGGCGTCGTATTATCTCTAAAGAGTCGGATATCCAAGATAGTCAAAATTACATTATGGTACACCCCAATTTCCGTATGCTTGTATTAGCTAATCGACCAGGGTATCCTTTCTTGGGTAACGATTTTTATCGTGAAATTGGAGATGTATTTAGTTGTCATGCTGTAGATAATCCCGATATGAAATCCGAAATGTTCTTGCTACGTAAATATGGTCCCCAAGTATCTGAAGATTTACTCGGCAAGTTATCAAACGCGTTTACAGATCTGCGTAAATTGACAGACGAAGGTTTGATCTCCTACCCTTACTCTACACGTGAATTGGTCAATATTGTGCTTCATCTCCAGAACTATCCTGAGGAAGGCATCTCAAAAATTCTTCAAAACGTGTTCGATTTCGACCAATATGATCAAGCTTCCAAAGAACTTGTGATTGAAATCTTTGAAAAACATGGTATTCCTGTCGGTCTTGAATCAGACTTTTCCATGTCTTTGGGTGACGTACTTTCATTGGGTAAGCCCCTTTTATCAGAACAATGGACTCGTGTACCATCCGCAACCAAGCAACTGGTAAGCAAATGTGAAACCGATGATATTGCTGTGCGTGGCGGCTGGGATATTGATGTAGGCAAGAAATGGAAAGAAGTGGAGCGTAAAGAAGGTAGATCCACCACTTTCTCCGAACAATTATATACGTTTGATATTCCTACTCGCGGTGAAGCTCTTGATATTGCTACCATGGATGACGGCACCATCTTTGTCGTAACCACAAACCCTGTCACTTTACACCGAGTCGAGCCTACTCATAAGCAAATAGATAGTTTAGATTTATACGAATACTTCCCATTGCAACGTGCACCTCCAAGACTTCGTATCTCTGTTATCCGTACCCAAGGCCAGGTTAAATATCTTGCTTTGCACAATCCTTCCAATAATGAATTACTTTGTTGTGATTTCAACAAGAAGTCTGTTGTCTCCGTAGTGATTCGAGGTCTTGAGCCTGTCAAATCCATTATGTGTAATAATTTGAGCTCATCAGGTATTTTGGTGTTTTATCAAATTGATCAACCTGTCATTGCGGTATTAGATTTCAATACTTCCAAACAACATACTTTGACTTTCCCCACACGTATAAATCAACTTCATGTGATTGAGCCCAACTTTTGGATTGCGCGTGGTAGTCGTGATGCAAACATGTACGCAATCCACTCTGAGCAAGGCGTCCCCAACACCATGGAATCGATTCAAGCACTTGGTCAAAATGGACAACCTGTGGATGAATTGAGTCATATCTTTGAACAAGATCTTACCCCTGGTGTGAAGTTTGGACATAACGAGAATCCCAGCAAATTTGCTTCAATTTTGGAAGGCTGTTCTCGGTCTGATTTCTTAGGCTCGAAAGGTGTAATTGATATATCCTGTTTTATAAAAAACCAAAAAACCAATTATCAAGTCAACACCAAGATTAAAGGCACAAGTTTATTTCTGGAAAAGACTCAGCAATTAGCAATTATTCAACCTCCTACTGATGGTCGCGCTGAAAGCTTTTTGGACCTATTAAATCCTATATCTGGACAAATTTGGCGTATCAAAATGCCCCTTTCCGTTGTTGGTGCCATGTAAGTATTTTGTTTTTTAAAAGAGGGGGTAGGGTTGAGGGGTGATAAGTCTGAATACAACTCTCTAATATGTCGTGTCATAGGGAACCTGTAACAAGTTACAATCAATTCCAGGTTGAGCGTTATGCGGCTACATTATCAGAGCTTCCTAATGGTAACCTTGTTACAATGGATAATGCAGGTACAGTCCGTATTTGGCAAGTCGATCCAAATGCTATCTATAAGGCTGCACAAACATGGAAGCAAATGGTGGGTGTGGATCAAAAACTTCTATCCGTTATTTACGAAACTGAAGATGTAAGTTCAATTTCCCATTTTACTGTATTCAATTCCTAATTAATGTGACAAATAGCATAAGCAATTGGAAGAGCTTTATAATAAGGCTGAACAAGGCGCTGGTGGAGGAAACAGCGATGCGAAATGTGAGACAGATGGTCAAGGTGAAGGCTCCGGCGGAAAATCTGGTGTTGGTGAAGGTGACGGTGGATCTGGTGGATCTGGTGGAGGAGGGGCCAATGGATCTGGTAATAATATGAATGAAAATGGGCGTCAAGAAGCTAGTTTTGAAGATATTGAAAGCCTTAAAATTAAAACAACCGGCGACGAACCTGAGGCTATTAGTCGAGCACAAAAAGAGATGCATGATCAAGCTATGGAGAAAATGTTGACCAAAATCGACATGACACAAGCCGATTTCCAAGTAAGGGGGACATATTTGAAGAGAAGGTAGTATTTATTAACATGTGCATATGAATAGAAATATAACGAATACATGGAGAATATCCGTCGAGAAGTACGTGAGCTCCGTGTAATTTTGGAAAGTGTCGAGGCAAAGAAACAGGAACGCGTCTGGCTTAAGAATCAATCCTCTGGTGATTTGGATGACACAAAAATGTAAGTCTTGATTTGTTTTCAGTCTAGCGTAATCAATACTCATCTTTTATATATATCAGTATCGAAGGTCTTACGGGTGAACGATCTATTTATAAAAAACGAGGTGAAGATGATCCCGAATTAGGACTTTTCCAAGACAAACCTAAACGAATGAATTTTGTTTTTGATTTATCTGCAAGTATGTTCCGTTTTAACTCACACGATCGTCGTTTGGAAAGATCCATGGAGGTAGCTCTAATGTTGATGGAGTCCTTCCGTGGTTTTGAGCATAAATTTGCGTACAAAATTGTCGGCCACAGTGGAGATGGTGCAAACATTGAGTTTGTCAAAGAAGGCAAATACCCAAAGACAGAGAAGGAGGCGTTTGAAGTTATCTCCAAAATGAAGGCCCACTCACAATACTGTTTAAGTGGTGATAATACTCTGGGTGCTGTATCCCATTCAATGAAAGAAATTGTCAAGGAAGAATCCGATGATTACTTTGTAGTTGTATTATCTGATGCTAATATCCAACAGTACAATATCCATCCCAATGATATCGCTAGAAGTAAGTTGTTTTTGTGTTTGTTTATATCGCTGTCCCACTTACCTTTATTATTTAGTTTTAAAATCTGATGATAGAGTTACTGCACAAATGATTTTTATTGGCAGTCTAGAAGATCAAGCTGCGCAGTAAGTGGAATCACAACCCTTTTTTTTTATCACGAACAAAAAGCTAATGAACTTTAAAATAGATTGAAAAAGGCTTTAGGAAGTCATGCTCATATTTGTACAGAGAATAAGGAATTACCGAAGATCATCAAATCTCTCTTCTTGTCTTCCATGGTCAAAGGTTAAGATGCTTCGGTTATGTATGATATATTCGTCATAATTTTATTTATAGAATTAAACATGCACATATGTTATTTAACTTTTGACACTCTATAACACTCTTACATGTATACAATATTTGAGCTTTATTAGTTTGATGTTGCACGAACTCATTATCTCTGGAAGAAGCGAATTTTGTGACACAGCTATCGCAGTATGACGAAACTCATATTGAGCATAAAAGATTTATATTTTCATTTTAATTGTTTTATCTATTTTCTCTTACAAACAAAATGCATTTTTTACATATACCTATAGAGATCATCAACGAGATACTTCTGAATACATCCAGAAATGATCTTCTACAATGCGCTCTTTCTTGCAAGAGCTTGTCAACAGCTTCACTGCAAGTATTTTATAAAAATGTGAATTTAACCGCTCAAAATATTTGCATTTTGAATTCACAAATGAATTTGGAAAAACATGAACGCGATTGTTACTTTCGATATGGTGCCTTTGTTCTGTCACTCGAGATATCGGATGATCTTGATGATAACGAGTATACTCCTAACTCAGAAAGCGTAATGGATAAAGACAGCTTTATCGCCTTTCTAGAGTATCTGCCTAATCTTGAAGTTTTAAACATCAAACGAAGTGCCTTTGTGGTGGAATACTTTAGGTGGCTTCTTTACACTCAGTCCACCGGATGTTTAAACCGTATCCAGCATATTGACTATGATGAGAACTCTATTCAACGTTTTCACACTAGTCTCATATTTGACTTACATTTTCTGGTTTGTTACAAATACCGTGCCACCATCAATCATCTCGTGTTACATTATAAACACCAAATGATCGAGGTGGATTCTCACCATGATCGAACTTTAACGTTTTTAAGCCATTTCAAAAATGTACAACATTTACTACTGGTTAATCAGTGTGATGACGCATTGGAAATTCTTGATATCACAAAAATTTGCCCCAATTTAATCTCGCTTCAGTACAAGAGCGATCGTACCATGTCAGACACCCGTTTATCAAATGATTCCACCAATAGCAAGATGACTCGTTGTTTGAAAAGCTTAACTTTGGAAGTGCCTACTGTTTCAACTGGCCTGATTGAATACATCACAGATTATATTCCTGCACAAATAGATTCAATTAATATCACAATGTATGATACAGATTTGTGCGACTGGATAAATACAGTTGGTATAAACAACGCTTTAAAGTGCGTGGCCCATTTGGGTACGTTCAAAGTTATCCGTTTTAACTTTGAGCCACCAAAAACTTACAGGCGAAGATCAAAACAAGAGGAGTCCAAGACAACCCTTCTCTTTAAATTACTTGGTGCGTTTAAAGTAAATAAGAAAAGTGCTGTACATGCTTATTATGACGATTTTTCCTCTGTTCGTGACTCTTTGGCTTACAACTCTGATTATGGAATAACAGTAAATATCGGATCGAAGATTGGTAACGGGGGTTCCTACGATGAAAGCAGAATAAAGCTAGAGTTTCCAGATACGCAGCGCTCTGTTATTGGGTTAGAGGCGATCAATCACATGCACGCTATCATGTATGATAAACGTCCTGAGGTACAGACGTATTTCCTAAAAGAAGCACTCAATCGATGCCCAGATCTTTTAAGTTTCAATTTTCGGTTCTCCTTGAATCTTTATCGAGGTGTCCGACTCAAGACAATTAACTATCCAAGCTCCCCAAAAAATAAATTGAACGTCATGAAAATCGGAGATTACCTTCCAACTGGAGAATTCATGGACCTGCTTACTACTCATTTACCAAATATCGAGATCCTGTCAGTCGGAAGTCCTGGCAAATCTCGACAGGCTCTTACATCGCCCATAATGATTGACTTGCGCCCTTTTGGAAATATTCAAAAGTTTTCTTTCAATTTGCAAATTTTGCTTGGACGTCGATCAGAGCATGGGGTCAATATCACATTGTGTTACGATGATAGTAGTTCAAGATATTACAGTCAAGTTAAGGAGACTCGAAAGTTTGTAGAAAAGAATAGAGAAAACAAAGAAGCATCTAGCGAGTGGATTTACGATAATCTCACTATTGGTTGTAACAAGGATCTTGAAGTATACATCTACAGTGATGATGATACACTTATTGCTGAATTCGGTAAACAAGGGTACACAGATCGTACAAGTGATAGCAATAGGTCTGAAGTAAATCCTTTCTTTATGTAAAGAAATATAGTGCATTCAATAATAAAATTAAAACTATAAATTATTGGCTAAAGAAGCAGTGTTAAAAATGTTGATCCCAGAGGTTATAATTGAAAGTAATGCTTGTGTGACAATGCAAGGCCATTTAAGTTTAGCAGCGTATAACTGCATAAACAAACAAGCAGAAAAATATCTCGAATAAAGAATGTCATTGGATATCTTAAACAGCTTTCCTAGTAACATTAATGGATCTTTAAAATTTAATTTTTTGGCACGCTGACAGACCAACTCCGGTTTCTTTCCTTTCTTGTTACGATTTTAAAAATGAAGAACAAGGATAAGAACACCTTAAACTTTTGCTGCCGTAAGCGCTGGTTGAGTTGTAAAGTAGGAATTTGTAGAAATATTCCAGACATGGAACACAGTAGCAGTTGCATCACGCTCTCTCGTCGTGTTATATTATTTATTATAGTTTTTAAATATCTAGGTCTATACAACACGGCATCCGATAGCCTCTATTCTTTGACTGCATGAATTTACATAGATATTGTCTATTATTGATTTATACATTATGAATACTTTGTTAAATGGTTTTATAGTCGAGAGATTATTCAGAATACTTAAGAAAAACAGCTGGTGTTTTATAATCATAATATTTTTTGTGCGCTAAGGATTGATATGATAGCGAGAATTGTGACAAAAATAAACAAATGTTACAGTGTGTGATTGATCAATTGATTTAATCAACGTGCACAACAATATTTGGCCTACATCGTAGAGAGATGTGGGTGGCTAAGGGAGAAGGTATATGAATAAAGTCTGATTTTTTTTGGGACTCAAGAGTCAAACTGAGGGATGGAACGTCACAGGACTAAAACGGGTGTTTGGGAAATGAGTTTGTACCTTTTTTCCATTTTTTTTTTTTTTTTTTTTTTTTTTTTATTGTAAATTGAGAGGGATTATGGGAAATAGCTTCAGTACTCAAGAATTAAAAGAGAAAATACACCAAGATTTAAAAATAGATGTAGCATTTCCATTTTTCCCTTCAGACAGAAAATCTGGTTCGAGCGCGTGCTGTGTTGTAAAATAATAATAAAAAAAGCATTGAAGAAATTATGCAATTGAAAAGATTAATCCTCTTTTTATAACATGTACTCTAGGTGGATACAGATTGGATCGACAAGTTAACCCATCCCAGTGACAACAATGAAGCTTTTATATTAAGACGACCCGGATATTCTCGAAAAACAAACGATGCAGGTTCAACTAATTCTCAAAAACAATCTCCAACTGTAAATATATATGTCACTGTATTATCTAAAGCCAGCGCCAACGGGTAAAAAACAAAATAGGGATAGAGTTAAAATAACCATGATGGTCTAAAATGTGTTTCTATAGCTTATCACTTTATGAATCTTCAGTTATGTCATCAGTTAAAAGCAACAATATCCATACACAGGATAAATGGCCATTGATTGAATATATCCAATCCTTATTGGAAGGAAAAGGAGCCGATCAAAAGATCGAATCTTTAAAGGACATATTTAACGATTATGAAGCCATGTTCGATGACAGAAAGGAAACGCATGATGTAGGTTTCTTTTTATATTCTATTTATAAAAAATCAGTGTGTCAATCTAAACCAAACAAACGAAAAAAAAAAAAGATATTCGTCCATAGGGTAAGGAATCTTTTATGGCCCAATTGCCATTGGTATAAAAAACTCTTGATTAAGGAAGACGACTCGATTACGTTGCAAAAAAAAGTCGAGAAAGACATTGATTTAATAGAAGCAGACACATCCAACTCGAATTTACCCGACGTTTTTTCCTTGATTGAAACCAATCATGCATATTATTTCTTGGCTTCGTATCGTGGTGCTACATTACAAGACTTGATCACTTACAATCCCGGTGTCCTCAGCTCGAATCTAAAAAAATCTTTCATCACTTATCAACTTTTACGTGTCATTGCAAGTTTACACAGCCGAGGAGTTCTGCACGGAAGTCTAAAAGCATCGAATATTTTAGTGGATGAAAATTTGTGGATTCAATTGGCTGGAATCGAGTTTGAACCAAACCCAAAAGATTTTGGTAATGTCAAAGCACATAAAATGAACACACTCCCCCTTATTTATAATTTCGGGAAAATAGATATGAGAAGTTGGATCCATGATAGAAAAGTACTAAAGATGACAAAGCATTTACCCCAAGAACCTCTGGTTGTGAGTTGGGTAAAAGGTGAAATATCTAACTTTTCTTATCTGATGGCCTTGAACCATTTGGCAGGCAGAAGAGAAGGGGATCCCAATTTTTATCCCATCTTACCTTGGATTACAGATTTCTCGGGGGATTCGATTGAGGATGGCTGGAGAAATTTTACGCAGACAAAGTTTAGAATCAACAAGGGCGATGAGCAACTCGATTTTACTTTTGATGGACCCGTACCTCATCATATCACAGATATTTTATCGGATATCACTTATTATGTCTACCAGGCAAGAAAAACACCAATCCCAGTTTTATGTCAATTCGTAAGATCCAAATACGAACCCAACGAATACCCTTCATCCATGCAAAGATTATACCAATGGACACCTGATGAATGTATACCCGAATTCTATACTGACCCAAGCATTTTTAAATCCATTCACCCCGACATGCCCGACTTACAAATACCTCAATGGGCTGACTCACCTAAGGATTTTATACGTAAACATGCAGAAGCGCTGGAAAGTGATTACGTTTCTGCTAACCTACACCATTGGATTGATTTAACGTTTGGCAATGATCTAACCGGTAAAGGCGCTGTCGAGGCAAAAAATGTCGCTTTACCTTTATTAGCTGGTCAGAATAGTTTTATGAAACATGGTATTATTCAATTGTTCAAGGATAAGCATCCCCAACGTGGCTGTAATTGGAACAAGATGAAAAAAGAATCTCATTTAGTGTCAGCTTCGCCTATATCAGCAGAGGATGATGCGTCAGATAGATCAGTTCGAGCAAACCAACCGCAACACATCACAAACGCTGCGATTGCTGCATCCAAGCAACGATCCAGTAGTATAAGAACGAGACATACGCTGTTATCGAATAGCAATAGTATGGATAGTGCAACAACAGGGTTACTTTCGACTATGGTTCATTCGTCTTCCATTGCCGGAACTGTGACTACAGCTGCAACCTCCAATCGAGACCGAACACCGTCGATTCACTCCACTGCATCTTCCATCGATACCAGCCGTTCACTTCCCTCATCTTTAATAGCAACGGCCGAACCTTTTACTTCAGTGCTTCGTACCGAACCAATCAAAATGCCTATATCCATTGCAGAAAATTATTTTATTGATGATTTGGATCTGTTTGAAGATATGGCAGCATTTTCAGCCAAATACAAGTCAATGGACCGTGCCGAAATGTTAATTGTTAATCCTATTTATCCCGATCCACCTCATCGATTTATGATTGATCCTACAGAAACAGTTGAAGCGCCACCTAAACCCTTCTCAGTAGGTGCTGCATTCGACATGTATTGTTTAGGTCAAGTGATTGAAAGTGTCTATACTGCTGGAAATTCCAAAGTGGTGGATTCGGATGGAGAGCCTTCTCAAGCACCAGCCAGCGGTTATTTTGAAGTCGGTAACGGGGATGTCAGTTACGATATTGCTCCTACTGGTAAAGTCGATGTCTCGTCTGCTGTCACAGGTGTTATTTCAGCACTGAAATCAGAGGATTGGCAAGTCAGACCCACAGCCAAATCAATTTTATGTGCTTCTTTCCCTGTCATGACTGTACGAGATCCTCGCTCTTCTTTCCCCTTTCCTGAAACTGTTCCGGAAATGTATGAGTATTTGGCGGCGTTTCATCAAGCAGAATGGTCAAGAAGGCTGTATTTGGCTGATAAATGGATTGATCGCATATGTGATCTGGAAGATGAGGTACCGTATAAAAATTTTAAGGAACCATGCCCCCTTTTTCTTACTAACAGTCATATACAGGCTTTTCTTTTATTATTACCGAGTTTCTCTGAATTATTCACACACGTCGAAACAAGGATTGGATCCATCAGTCTTTTCCCCAAACTTGCCCAACGCCTCGGACCAGATAGAGCTCGTAGATACCTACTAAAGAGAATCATATCCATGTTTGAAGCATTACGACCTAATATCCCCAAAGTTCTGTTCAACCAAAACATCATTTATGAATTTGTAAAGAGGTTAGGAATTTCCGTGTTTTTACAACAGATGCTTCCCTGTTATCTTGAAGCACTTGCGATTCATGAGGAGGGTCCTAGTGTTGCTGTGGCAACAGATAAAACCACATCCATCACAGACCTCGCGGGCGACTCCCTCGTTCATATCTGTGTGATGCTAGGCCCTATCTTGACCTCCAAACATATTGTACGCCAACTCGTAAAGATTCTTTTCCGTGATAATCAAGTACGCCCTTCACTCGTCAATACCACGGTGCGCATCATTGGCGGATTTGGCTCGACATTTACAGCAGTACAGTATTCTTACTTGATTAGTTTAATGGATGGATCTGTGACGAGTGCTAAATTGACGATGAAGACCACTAAAACCATATTTTCGGTACTTACGTTGTTACAAGAATTGGTGCCATATTTATCGAACGAAGCGCTGGTGACTGAACTCAAATCTGGATTTATTGCCACTTTATACCAACTATTGGAACCATTACCACAATCTGCCACCGAGGATATCAATTCGATCTCTCCAGAGCAATTAAGGTTACGCCTGACCATCAGTATGAAAACCATTGAATATTTGTTGAAAGCAAGTCAAAAATTGACAGTACAAGAATGGGAATCTACTGTAAGTAATAAAGGACGGTGTAAAAATTATTATAACGACTAATTTTATTTCTATTTTTTTTTTTGTAGATTGTTTCAACACTTCAAAAATACTTTTCAGGTTTCTCTATGGACATTTCTAGTGATGATGAGAGCAAGGATGAACTTTCTTGTTCATTGTCCGCACAAAAGAGCTATCAAGTAAGAAACAAAATGATAAAAGAAAAAACGTCAATTTTACTGAACCTTTTTCCTGGTCGGATAGATGATTTATGCTTATTACCGATTTATTATGATTGTTTCAGAAGAGAAATTACGCCGTGTGATACCCACCAGGTAACGAGTGCATATCTAGATACAGCATTCTTTTTTTTTAACACATGTATAATAGTGATGCTATTGAGTCCATGCTGTATGATCACTTTTCCATCAAGTCAAAATCACTTTTCGATATAACACCCACTAGTTCCATGTCATCCTCTCACATCAGCTCTGTCCAAAAGAAATTCTTACCAGTTGCTACCACCACCAAATCAGAAACAACTGCCACTTTACAAAGCGGTAACAAGTTTATGTCTTGGATGATACCGAACAAACGTATACCTACCGATCAAGCCACCGATACAGCTTCCATCTCCTCCAAGAAATCTTCCTCCTCTACAAAAGATGAATTACTATCCAAAAAGATCGATATTGATGTAAACAAACTGTTTGAATATTCCACCAAGAATTTGCATACGTTTGGGTATCCACCATCTAGGTTGACTGTGGCTTCGGAGAGTAGCGCAAGTAAAGCGGGTTTAACCAATTCAGCTATTGCTGTCACTGCTACAGTTACTGCTTCTCCCACTGTCATCACAAACGGGACAGGCATCCCTCTGTCGTCCACTGCTGTTGTCTCGGGTTCTACCACCTCAAATTCCTTAGCATTAGATGGAAGCTCCACCCAAAAGATGAAGGTTACCGAGATATTTGATAAACCGAACAGCGTTACCAAACCAGTGGAAAAAGAAAGGTAAAAAAAAAAGAACATTTGAATAGGTAAAAAAAAAAAAAAAATGAATTACTGAGCAACCAGAGGACGGTTAGTAAATCCAAAGTTCCTACCAGTGTTTTACCTTGGAAGACAAGATGGAAACCATTTCCCGAAGATAAAAAGTAAGTTGAGGGGGGGGGGAGAAGCAACGGAGGAAGAGAACAACTAAATAATTAAACCCTTTTTGGCTTATATAAAGAAATTGGAACCGATTTTTATCCACGAATTCTGAAGAAATGTCGAAATCAATGCAATTTTCATTTAATGACCTGAAATTGCGCGGATTTGCTGGCCATAATGCGGCCATTCGAACGTTTGCAGTCAACGAACCTGCAAAGATTTTTGCATCGGGATCGCGAGACAAAACTGTCAAAATCTGGTCGTTGAATGTGCACGAAGGGATCGAGAACTGGGAAAGCGATCCATTTTCGGAAAGTTTGGTGACTTACACTGGGCATCGAAGAGGGACAATCAATGATGTGCATTTCTTATCAACAGGCGGTCTGAATGATATTGTAGCCAGTTGTGATGGTCATGTTCATGTAAGTAATCTATTAAAAGAGTAAGGAAAAAAAAATGGAATAAGTAATGATGTGCCCCCCCAAAAAACAGTTATGGGATCCCGAAACAGGAACTGGACTTCATCAATTCAATGCGGGCCGATCATCCGTGGTTTCCGTCAAACCAATATTTCAATCACGACATTTAGTAGGAGGTACGATCGAAGGCAATATTACGTAAGTTTACTGGCCCCTTTTGTTAAGGATGATTTTCGCAAAAAAAAAAAAATTAAGCTTTTTTTATTAAGATTTTTCGATGCACATAATTACATACCGTTACATACTTGGAAATCGAGCTCCATGATGTCGGGCGTAATTCGAGTGATTGCGGTCAATCAAGCAGAGACGTTAGTTGCGGTGGGATTTTCCACCGGTGCTATTTCATTGATTGAATCGCGAACTGGCACTTTGGTAGCAAGCTGGAAGGGAGGTGATACCGAAATCACTTGTGTATGCACATATTTGAAATTATAATGAAAAAAAAAATGGCTAGTTTCTAAATTTAATTATTGATTCTAGATGAAATTTTATACTGATGATTTACTGCTATCCTGTGCACCCGCAGATCATCTTATATGTTGTTGGAATGTCAACCGTTTAGCACTTGTAAAGACCATACCCGCAGCTCAAGATGTCACCTCTTTGGATATATACAAGGATGAAATCCTGACAATTAATGCAAATAGCTCTGTGTCTTTTATACCAATTAATGACGATGTAAGTTTTTTCTGTATAAATTTTAATTTAAAAAAAAAAAAAAAAAAACTGACATGAGGGGTTGATAGTTTCAAGCCTACTCTTCAAAATTTAAATCTTCCATCATTAAATCGCAAGTCAGTTCGTTTGGTGTTGTGCACACGGACCAATTGCTGCTCTTCGGGTGTGCTGAAGGAGAGATCTTTTTGTATGCCTAGACACGATAGAAATCCTGAGTTGCGCACAAGGGAAATAAAAATATGTATTGCTCTAGTCTACCTTAACTAGTTTAAAGTACACTTTTTTTTTATAGTAGAGTATTAAACTATGACATGATGAAAGGGGGTAGAGGACTTTTGCAAAATGTATTTCAGCAAAAGAAAAAAACTTGTATAAATCTTCCACTATACATTCACGAAACTAGGGATGAAAAAAAAAGGGGGGAGGGTTGAGGGCAGCAATGTAAAGCCATCATTCATACGTGAACAGAACTAACTTCTTCATTGGACCACGCTTATTGAATGCAAGGGGGATCTCCTGCGGGTTGAGCCGATTTTGAAGTAGCTGCCTGTAAAGATTATTTTTGAAAACAACAAAAGAAATGTTTCCCATTCATGAGAAAACAATGTTCTCAGCATAATTCATTAAACTAAAAAAGAATCCATCGTCTATATGCTTTATTACTACCTTTTTTGCTTGAAATGCAATGCTTGCTATGCAACGATTTTCAAAAAACTATTCTGTCTTTATTCTTCATTAAGGGGGGGAAAGAACCCAGGAGTCATCATATATTTAGAAAATGCCTTTCTTGCTTCACTGTTTCCCCATCTCTTTTCTAGTCTCTATCATTATATCCACATCATATGGCCATGATTCGATGTGGTATTAACAAAGTATGCATCACTTTCCTACCTCCGTCTTTATAGGCAAATTATTTATATAAATACAGGGTCAAAAAATAAACTACCTTTTCCCTCTTAACTTTCTTTTTTTTTTTATAACTTTATTCTAATCTAATGAGAATATCTGGTGCTCTCTCCATCTGCGCTATTTTAAGTACATTGACTATTCAAGTATTTGCTGCTGCTGTCGTACCACCCACAGCGCAAAACGCTGCATTACCAGCACAAGCCGCAGTACCACACCCACCAGCACAAGTACAAGCACAATCATTACAGCCTGAATATATTGCACTACCCGTGTATGTTAAAGTGCCAGGATATGCAGGCGGAGAGCCTTCTTACCAACAACTGTATTCACCTGCTAATGTTCATACACCGGCTTCTGCACCCGGTGCTCAATTACCAGCAACAATGGGTGGACAATTCCCTGCTGCCCCAGGCATCCAAGTATCACCGGCTCCTCCCGCTCTCACTGGTCAGCCACCTGTACCTCCTCAAACTCAAGTATCTCCTCCCGCCCAAGTTCAGGCTGCTCCCGTCAAGGCTCAAGTCGCTCCCGTACAAGCAGCGCCACCTGCTCCGGCACAGGTACAACCAGCAGCTGCAGCACCTGCCGTTGCTGCTGCTGCTAGTGGTGCCCCTGTCAGTTCATCTGCAGGACTTGAGTGTAAATGTCCCGCTGGACAAACACCTACCATGTTTGCCGGACTCTGTATATGTGGAGATTGTGGCAAAGTGTCCCCTGGAGTGAAATCATACAATACGAGTTGTCCCGATGAAAAGTTTGCGGCGTTTAACTTGGGACTTGAGAAGGAGTGTAAAGAGATTGAGAATACAGAAGATTGTGAATTTTTCAAAAAGTCACCTGGAGCTCTTACCGATGATTATAAGCGGTGTAGAGATCAACTTGATTCGATTATGGATGACTGTGAAAATGATGCCAAATGCTGTAGTACGATGGTTAAGCCTGGAGCACCAGCTCCTGCCGATGATTAGAGAGGGGGAAAAGGGAGTAACTTTTTGTATAGCGTGCTTTTTTTTTTAAAAAAAAATCAAATAATAAAATCATCATCATGTCCGTTTCATATACACTTTTTATTTTATTTTTTCATTAAGCTATTACTGGAGTAGATCTGCAAAATAGTCTTCGTATTCTTCTTCCTTTGTCTTTTCGTCCTTCTTTTCCAGTGGTTTACTCCACACGGATGGCTCTGATTTCTTTCCTTCTTCTTCTTCGTTCTCTGAATCTTGGTCTATTAAAAATACTATTAGTGTCTAATAAAAAAAAAATGTCAAGTATTGTATGGCTTATTTACCTGACGAGGATGATGCAGAGGAATCACTATGACTTTTCCTTGATTTCTTTTCTCGTTTACTCGCTTTTTGTTCCTCGCGTTTTCGTTTCAATGTCTGTGCTAACCTCACCTTTGTCTTGTAGTTTAGCTTATCGGAACAGTCAGGACATAATCTTACTTTCACCAACTCATTCTTCTTTTCACCGTCTTCTCTGTAAGCGAAATTGACTTCCCAACTCTTTAAATCCTTGTTTTGATCACATTGGGTGGATGCACACATAAATTGACCTTTCCCCACCATGACCTCCTTTTCTGTTCTCCAGCGTAAAGCAATTTTCCCTTCCTTGTAATATTTCAATTCACAGATCGCATACTCCTTGAATAATTTATCGTAGTATTTTTTCGCTACACGTTGTTCCCATGTGGTGTCTTCTTCCGTGCGTACAAACCTACAAGTTTGTTAGCCCAAAAGAATGCACAACCCAAGAGAATATCGCAATGAGATTAGGATTACTTACTTGTGATTCTCTTGGATAATATCTCGTTCTGTTTTATATTTGGTGGGTGTGGTATCGGGTGCTTTCCCGCGATAGACTTGTACGTATGTCTCCACTAATTTTTTATGTCGGGTATACTACTGGATGCGTTAATTTTATTTTATCTTTTTCAGGGTTGCATTATATACTTTACAGCATCGCTTCCTTTGAGTTCATTTGTGAAGCATTTGCTAAGTTTAGATTTGGTCGACATGGGAAGTGGGGGGTGGAAGGGCGCGCACTCTTACTCAGAAGTGCTCTTCTTTTTTTTGGGGGGGGGGGGGCTCGATAGATTTGGAAAGCCGCCTTTACAGATTTTGACTATACTTTGCCCATGGTAGTAATGTAATAACACATTATAAAAGTTTTACATTCAAAATGTTAAAAAATTAATTGATCCATTAACATAATTAATCAAACCAATTTGTGAAAAGGTTTTTAGATAAGAACATATAAACAATTAGGGATAGTTTAGATAAATACACTGTGAAAATTAAAACAACCTTTTTGATATTTTGCATATCAGCATACGCTTGTATACTGCTATACATCTTCTCTTACTACGAGTACATATTTCTATATTAAAGATTGCATGATTGTCCAAAATATGATATACCAATACAGAATGCTATACTACTGAGTTACGACATCACCGATCGAAAAGAGAATCTTCTCAGATCAAATCAAGAATAATAGGATAGAGAGACTTAAAATATAGTTCTCTCAATGGATTAGCTACCTACTTTTATCTCATTAGTTCTCAAGTGTATTATTTTTGTCAAATACCACAAGTTGGTCACCATTTTGAGCCCTTGTCCTTTCTGTTAATGGAAATTTCACTTCCAAGGTTAATCCTTGTTTCTTCTCTTTATACCATTTTTACTATAAATAACCCCCATTATTGATCAAATATAATAAATATCCCCAAGTTTTTTTGTGATACAAAAGAATTATCCTATTATTGGATAGTACTTCATGTAGTTGTATCACTTAAGTGAGCGCCTTGCTATAAGATAGCAAGCCACAGAACAGACCAAGGTTTATCAATGGTATTTAAACTAGCTTTCACAAATGTGTGTCACACTATCAATCCCAAAGCAGGAAAATTCGGAGATTTACAGATAAACTAAGCCACTAAGAAAGAGGATATAAAAAGAAGATATTATCCCAACAGGGTTTTTTCTTCTTTGTGCATAACGGTAAGTGATTTCTCAGACAAGAGATCTAGAAATTGAAACTGACGAATATTATAGAAAGGAGAGAACTTTGGCAATCCCCTTGAGAAGGACGGAATGAGCTTTTGCTCAAACTTACAGCACCTCGTGTGTTTGAAGGCATCGCTCTTCGGAGCATCTAGGCATATTGCCCACAATTTTTTAATAATAATGAAAACGAAAAAGCTTTGGGTATTAGGGTGTTTAATAAAATAAGTAACGTGACCGTCACTTTTTTTTTAAAATTTTAAAATTATATCATTTCGCAGTTTTTCGAGTTGTTTCCCTTTCTTTTTTTCTCTAGTATAACATACCCTAGCACAATAACAAAAAACAGAATTATATAAAAAAAAAATGGGAAAAACACAAGAAGAAACCATGAATAATCCTTTTATTCCTCAAGATAGTAAGCTTCATGCTTTGACAAGAGCTGAGGAAGAAAACTGTTATAAAGATATGAAGGCAAAAGCCCTTGAATTCTGTCAATTACCTATCAAAGGTACCCTCTCTTCTCGTTTTATTTCTACATATCGCATACTAAATACACCCCCTAAAAAAAATAATTAGACTTTGTTACATGTAGTAAAGAACACAACGTTACTGTCATGTGGACTTGTAGAAAAAAATTGAAGGCCATGAACAATTGTTTGAACGAAAAGTAAAATAGACTTACCCTTTTTTTTTTTTGGTGCCTAGAAAACTAATACCTGTTTTTTTTATAGAACTTCTCAAGTAGAATTAGATAAACTTATGTTGGCCAAATTAGCAAAGAAAAAGTTGGAACAACAAGCTTCTAAATAAAATATATCACAATACGCATGTACCTCTCAAAAAAAAAAAAGAAACTTTTTATTAGCGATTGCAGAAGAAATACGATGTTTTAAACAGCATATTTTGCTTTGCCCTCATCCTACGAAAAGGGAAATGGAATTAATCAGATTGATGAATGTATGAAAATACGGGGAAAAACTTACGCTGATAACACAAATATGATCCAAATCTCTAAAATATTCATTATAATCCAAAGCATAGCCTACAACAAATGCATCGGGGATAGCAAAGCCAACGTAATGAGGGATATAACCATTACTTTTAGGCGTCTTCTTGACTAATAAACTGGTAACCTTGACAGATTTTGGATTGTAGGTCTCTAATCGATTAAGCAAATGAACCATCGTAGCACCCGTATCAATGATATCTTCGACAATTAACAAGTTCTATATATATATATTTCATTCTCTGTATGAGTCACTTATTCTGTTTCCCAGGAAACCCACTTACCTTTCCCTCAAACTCTTTTAATTGCTCATCAGTTAAAGAAATATTGACACCACCTGATGTATCATTTGTGTACGATTTCACTCGAATAAATTCTAAACTAAGCGGCACACTGCTTCCATTGTTTCTACGGAGTTTCTTGATCTCATTCACCAAGTCGGCAAAGTATTGATGTCCACCCTTTAAAATACAGCACACAACTACCATTTTTTTTTTTTTAATCAGCCATGTCCTCCCCCTACCCTCACTGATTTACTTTTTACTACTTACCTAAAGGTCCTTGGGAATCATCTACAATCAATCTAGCTAATTTTTGGATTCGGTCCTAATATGTAACCTCCGTCGTTAACGGGTGGCGTGATAAAAAAAAAAAAGCCATAATTTTTATGTTGTGTACGTTACCATGATGACACCATGAGGGATCAAAATACTAGAGACATCACGTTCATAATGACTTGGGATCACAAAGTGGTTTAAAGAATAATGGTTCTTTTCAGTAGTCACATCAATCCAGTCAGAAGGGTCCATTGTAAAACAAGTTTTTTTGAAATAAGCTTTCTTCAACAAAAGAAAAAAAAAAGGGACTAAGTAGCTCCTCGTATTTATACTTTACTGATTTCATCCGTGAGAAGTATCATGTAAGCACCAAAAATAAATGACGTATCTGTAAGCGCGTGTGACAATGCCGTGCAAAAAAAAAAAAAAAAATTATAGAATAGTCTATCTCTCTCTCTCTCTATATATCTATTTTTTGTTATCACTGATAAAAAGATTGCTGATAATCAACAGGTCCAGACTGGGTAAACCTTCTTGCATCCCCCCTCCCTCTCCCTTTCATGCATAAATACACATATATAAACAAGGACAGTGGGAGCACGCTCTTTATTGACAGTCCTTCTTGTAGAACGCACAGTGTCTCTTTACAGATGTGCTCACTCTACATATTTCAATAGCCGTTTTGTCCGCTACAGCTCCAAAAAAAAAAAAAAAAAAATCCGTGCGACAATGGTAGATGTGTGATTATACAGTTTTCGCACGGTTTAAATGCATCTGGTTTAAGAAAGATGCACGGTTCAACCTACGCTAGTGAGTTATTAAAGGCAGGGGGGGAACGAAACCAAACAAAAGATATTAGCACAGTCCTCCCAAAAAAACCCACTTTGATTGTGCTAACTAATAAAAATAAAGGGCTGTTGATAATGCCTTCTTGCCTCGTATGGTTGCTATAATGTTGTTTCGTTGCCGAGAAGATGATTTGAAAAAGAAAGAGTCTGTAAAGTTGAAAAGCTGTGGAGTCTTAAATTTTATTAATACACTATTTCCGAAAATTATTGGTGCAATCACTAAAAAGATTTGGTGCACTCACTAAAAGGATTTGGTGCACTCTTTTTATCATAAGGTTTTATTCAATCAATGAGTCAATTTGTTTACGAAGATGGGAGCGGAAATCTCTGCGATGAGCAGGGAACATCAGTTGCTATTATAGACATGGAAGTACAAAACCTGCGTATTCCTTGATCCGTTGTTTTTCGACCAACACACATGCACCATCGGGTCTCTTGCTATAGTTTTTTAAATCCGTTTTCGTGTTTAACCTATTAAAGGAAATAAAGAATTAAAAATACTGCCTGATAAATTGTTCCCGGATTTCATTTTTTACCATAAAAATAATTTCGAGTTTTGAGGTTTGTGAAATAGAGGCGATAAAAACGGTTGTAAATACCCATTGATAAATTCGGCCTCTTCCACCTTATGGTTTAACAAAGATTCGGTAGGCAGACTATTAAGCCTAAAACAAATAAGGTGATATAAGTTAAAACGCGCTGTATATTGTATGTTTTTCCCTTTTACAAATTAATCAGAACATCCACGAGCTTTCGATCCTGTTTCGAGGCTATCTTGTAAATATCAAACAGTACTAGTTTGACATCATCTCTATCATTTTCCACATTGAAATCCTAACGAAAAAGTGTGAGTAATTATCATAAATTAAAACGAGTGTTTCTTACACCAAATAATTCCGCAATATCGTTGAAAGTATGTCTTTCAACTTTCACATTACTATTGTTACTATTGCTGTTGTTACTATTGCTGTTGTTTCTACTGCTGTTGTTACTATTGCTGTTGTTTCTACTGCTGTTGTTACTATTGCTGTTATTGCTGCTGTTGTTATGGTCCATCCTTTGTGTCAATAATACAGTGGTGGATTGTAATAACGGAACAGAAAGTCTGTTCTGCTCGATTTCCAAAGCCTTGTCGGCCATTGCTTCATACCATAAAGTTTCAAAGTTCAGGTGCTTGGTTAGACATCGTTTTGAATGCGGGAACAACTTTTTGTATTCGTGTTTGAACTTTGCTTCCAAATTCTTCTTGCAATCACCCGCGTTGTCAAATTGTTTCATGAATTGTTTGACCAAAGAATTATTTTTACCGACAAAAAGATTCAACCCTTTTTTTCTTGGACGTTTTAAAAAACTTTTCTAATTCTGAACAAGAAGTAAGTATATTTTATAAGATCATTATGATGGAGCTACCCTCTGATATTTGTGACATAGTAAAAGGTGGGAAATGTCTAGACCTCCGTATTTTTTTCAAACGTATTTTTTTTATACTACTTACAGAAATTCTGGCCAGAAGACCAGCAGGCCAGTATGTTTGCCCCTATTTAAAATGCATCCCTGCTATTCACAGTTCGTGAGTTCCAAAAACTCAAGAACTCTGCCTAGGAGGTCGCCCTCCTATAGCAAAGACTAGCTGCAGCCGCAATATCACAATATATCTTTTTTCATTTTAGCTTCTTTTCAAAGAAACAAGAGTCATTACTAACTAACCTTTTTACGTGATCGGTTACTTTCATACGATAAAAGAAGTATGTTAAGGGAAAAGAAAAGGAGAAGAATAAAGTGTGTGAACCAGCTTTATTTATAGATAAACAAGCTTATGTCAAGATGATTTCATTTGTCTATTTTATCATCCATAATGTTTGAGCATTTACTTAAAATAGAAACACTTGCAAAAACCCCCCAAACAAATCGCTTGGTAGTTGTATATCTGCGTTCCAATAGTAGCTCGTAATGACAGTGAAGCAGATTTTATGGAAAACAGAAATCAATCATCCCAGAAAGTTTAGATGATATGGCATGTCAATCAACGTGTAGACCATCGCGTGGCTCTAAAAAAATACGTTTATTTGAAAAAAATACGTTTGACATTTCCTAAAAGGTGAGGGATTGTTAAAAAAACGCGTCTTTACTTTGTTGTATCATATTTAAACTCAGATTCCAGTCACACCTAAAACGCATGATACACGTTATATCCCAACAAGTTGTATTCTGTTTTCTTTTTTCTCTTGCGAATAAAAGAAATCCTGCAATTCGAGAGCCGTAAGCTTTACCAAGTGGAAGCCGTTTTGTTTGGTACAAGGAGAGCACAGAAGCCCTTGGTTCTTTAATGCGCAATGGACGGATCGGGGAACTCGGTGTGGTGTAAAAGGTATTTGCCAGCTAAATAGCCTTTTTTTTTTTGATTTACTTATTTTAATTTTGTTTTAGCGTCTTGTTTTGTGAATTAAAGAAATCCTGCAATTCGAGAGCCGTAAGCTTGACCAAGTGGAAGCCGTTTTGTTTGGTACAAGGAGAGCACAGAAGCCCTTGGTTCTTTAATTCGCAATGGACGGATGGGGGAACTCGGTGTGGTGTAAAAGGTATTTGCTTTTATTTTCTTTAGTTCACTCAAGTGTTAAAGTTTGTTTTTTTTTAAATGAAAAATCTGCCTTGCGGTGAGGAGCACGGTGTACTCTTTGTCAGCGGATTAATGCTCGTTTATTTATTCTCCTTGGCAATTCCATCGTGGTTCATTACGCAAGCTAAACAAGCAAGGCCGTTTCCTTCACGCAGTATTCGTAACTCAAAAATTGCTGTAACGTCTGGCCATATTATTTTGAATAAATCCGTTTTTGTTTTGTGGATGAAGATTGTTGGAAAATTAGACCTCTGTGTTGAACTTGTTTAACGCATGAATAGTAAAATAAAAACTGTGTGGTATACATATATTTGAGAGAATGGGGTATTATGATTGTAATGTGGTTGCAATGTGATATTTTATGGAAGATGAGGGTCACTTTGCTTTTTGATAGTAAGATGAAGGTGCAGTTATTAAGGCAGATGTTGAATCCTTGCAATGATACTGATATTTAGATTACAAAACTTAAACCCAAAATATAAAAGCCCTAGAGTATTTGCGCTACTCTTGCAGTCTTGACGCGAATACTTTAATCTTAGATGAACTTTTTGACATTGTCTGTACAGATAGCATGGAGTGAAAAAAGTGCTTATATTGTTATTCTAGTCAAACGATATCTAGATTTATTATTGCTTTTTTGTAGTTTAAAGTTAAAATTATATAAACATCATAGCTTTATGTACTGCATCATTCTTCTATTCATTTGTTGATAGTCTATCAAAATCAAAATTAATAAGCCCATTCAAACTAAAAATAATAATAATGAATGAGATACATTCGCTCTAAAATGCCGTTGCGATCCTCCATGGTATAAAAAGGAGAGCCTGTAAATACAGCCCACTTTTCATGTGTAACCCCCCAAAAAAAAATACCAGAATATAAAAATTATGTCCGGTCTGGCAGCTTTAAATCTGAATTTAGTTTTGTCACGACTTGTCATTTATTTTAATCAGATTTGCAATGTCATTTACTGACAAGTACAAAGCGATAAATAAGACATGTGTACAGTCAAACCTATAGAATTTGGCCGAAAGCCAAAAAAAAAAAAAAAAAAATAAGGGTCGGGATTTAGAAAAAATTACTGTCATTTTTAAGCTTGTCACTCCAATTGGAAACAATTGTCAGAACTAGTAACACTGTGTCTTTGACTTCACTACATCAACGAGAGTAGATATACCAAAGATGATATTGTATTTATTGAAAATAAAAGCAAAGCTGGAAAAAAAGAAGAAATTAGAGGTACATATACGATGAAGGAAAAGTAGAGGGACTTTATGTATCATATTCATCTTTGCACAGCCTAAAGAGATCCGGTCTCATAAAAGGAAACTATTTTTGCTGGGATTTGAAATAATATCGACCCAGTGTAAACAAGGTAGGTATCTGCACTCCTGGTACCAGAAGGAGAAAATAAAAACACTTGTATGCCCAAAACGTAATTTTAAGCGGTATCAAAAAATGAGTCTTCATTAACACCTAATTCATCCTCCCCCCCCACTCATTTGAGGCCACACAATAACTGTTTGCTGGAATAGCTGCACCTATAATATAATAGACAAGTAACTATTCTTCAGCAATTTTTTCGGAGTACTTCATACTCAAGTAAGTTTGCTTACTAGTTACTGGTTTTTAAAGAGCTATGTTGGGATCATTGATATGCGTTAAAACATATTACATCGAATCCTAAGCTTTTTTCTTCTTAGTCTTTTCCAAATCCGACCTTTATTTTTGGCTTTCGGCCATTTGTTTTTGAGAAAATACCAAATCCGACCTTATTGACTGTAGTAAGATTCCTCGTGTTGAGCCTTTTAAAAACACGCATTTTTTAATATAGAAACACTGAGTGATTCAATCGTATGAACACTTTTTTTTTGTTTGAGTGAGCACGGTTTTCTTATGATCACGTTGACGTTTCATCTAGTAATTAACTCGTTGCTGCATATCTACAACAATGCTATCTCCAACAGCTGCAACTTTTTTTTTTTTTCATTTAAATCATTCTTTTGCTGCACACTAGCATGAGCATTCTTATTTATATAAGCTTAAATACTTATGGAAGCCCGCAAATGGGATGTTCTATCCTGGGAATCAAGAAGGTATTTCCTTCTGTTTGCATACTCTCAGATATTATTATCTTTAATGCTTCATGCTTACTTGAGAATATCCTGTGTGAGTCAAAGCAAAATAAATATATTTGCACACCATTTATCACGTACCCCTTGCTGACTAAAAGATGATTTAAAGGCGAAAAAAAAAGGGGGGGTCCAACTCTATATATTTTTTTTCTTATGAAGAACGTATGGGCTACTCACCACCTTTTTTATTTTATTTTTAGACATGTACGAAATTAATAATAAAAAAAAAAAAAAAAAAAAAAAACCTTGGATACAAAGTGCGAACATCGATTTGTTCATGCCGATTGTATCCTGTTGCACAGAGTGGTTACAGTCATCGATCATGGAAACGTGGCTAAAATATCTAAAGCAAAAAAAAAGCATGATTTGGATAAAATATCAAGCTATAAACGGAAATTCTCGGTTTGTCAAAATAAGGGGAAGAGACACAATGACGTCTCTATCCATCCTTCTGTATCACGATTATCTTATTAAGAGGTCAATCTGTTGATCCTCCAAGGATAGTTTTAATATGAAAATAAAGGGGAAAAGAGTGTGTGCGTATTTGTCTAATAAACATTTTTCTTGGGTTCACAAAATCTGACAGTGTCATCCCAAAGGACATATGAGGTGGGGTTTAAAAAGAAAAAGAAAAAGGACCTTATGACGGCTTATTGCATAGTTAAGAATGTAGCCTGATACCAAGAGAAAGTTTACCTCGGTTTTTGTATGTATCTGATACCACTAAAAGGACCCCCTCACTCACTGACCCCGATATGTAAAAGAATGTCATGATCTGATTGGATAGATAACTTATTAGGTATTCCCGATGGAAATACCACGCGAGTGTAGTTGGGATTAAGATGAGGTCGGAAAAATATGAATAGAGAATCATAATGTATTTTTTTTTTTGCCTCATTGGTAGCTTTCCCAGGGATTGAAGATATAAAGTATGACATAGTTTTCTGTGCTTTAGTCAGGAGAAGAATCAATATTGTTCATCGTGTGATTTAAATGACCCCGGTTGTGTAAATACCATAAACGTAACTCTGTCATTACAAAGAAAAGAAGGCTAAACTTAAAAGATCCAAAGGCAAGTTCATTCAAGAATCGGCTTTAAATAAAACTAGCGTCATATGAGTACTGCCCGAAGCGCTTAAAAAGTTTATTGTATAGAACACGGAATTATAAGCAGAAAATGGTGTTTTTGTGTTTACAAGTGGATCAATGAAAGTAATAACAGCTGACACAGACACACACACATACAGTGCATAAGCTGCGACAAACAATACAGTGACAGCTACCTAATAAGTTTTTTTTTTAATGCAGGCAATGGAACAATCAAAGTGGCGGAACTTGAACCATGGATGCATCTCTTTATTTATTCAAAAAACGCAATGACTTGGCGTTCATTCTTTTTAAAATGAAAAGCGGTACATAATAATATGCCGATCATGATGCAAAATAACCAAATATTTAACATGATCGCGATAAAAAATCTTTTTGTGACGGGGAATACCAAACTTAGATCTTAGAAAATAGGAATCGTATGATACATGCAAAAAGAGAAAAAGAGAGAGAGTAAACAACCCTGATTGTATTAAATCTCAATTAAGGGCAATTAACATATAAAAAAAAAACCCTGCCGATGATGTTCCCCCTTTCTATATTAAAGACACACACACACACTTCATCCCACGCGTTGCACATTGTTTATATGAGTTTTTCTTTTTTTTTTGTGAGGGAGGTAAACAGTGTCACAATCAAGCCTCCTTGAATTCTGAAAGAAAAATTAGAATAAAACGCGTATGATGGTTACACACTACAGTTGGGAAAAAAAAAGGGGAGGAGGCGTCTGCTGATTTCCTTTAAAATTTGTTATTGACAGTCGGGCCGAAAATTGTTAAAAATAAATAATCGCGGTGTTATGCAAACAATGAAATCTTTTGTATATATGAGTTCCCCGTTCCAAGGAGTGGATGATCATTATTAAAACGTGGCATTCTTTAGGGAGTTACCAAGTCGCAAAACGGACATATTTTTTAACCGGGTCGAATTAGAAAAGGAGTGGTTTTTTTTCCCGTATGATTGGATACTATGCAAGTAAACAGATCAAATTAAATGCCTAGTCTCTCTTTTTTTTTTCTGCAGATCAAAAAAAGGTAACCGAACCCTGTTTGATAGAACGGGAAATAATTTTTATATATTGTTGTTTATTTCTTATTTTTTTGCCACTTGACGTATTTTGTGTTGTGCAAAAGTACAAAGCGCAGAGAGAAAATGTTACTGCAATATGTTATCATTACTATAGTATCCAAGTAAATATGTTTAAATATAGCTTATTAGTTTAGATTTCAATGATATTAATAGTATAAAGTGGCAAGTGTAATGTCTGTAGAGTGAGCTAATGTGACTGTGCGTGCATTGGTATGCCAAGATTAAACTACAGATTCGATTGGTAGTGTGAAATAAACATAATAAGGAGTAATTTAGGGGGTGAACATCAAACAAGAACTTCTGGTTTTTTTATAACCTTCACGTTTATTATAACTGGCACGTTGTATCGTTTTACTTCCCTTTTTTGTCATGCAGGGCGGATTTATGCATGAGCGAATCCAGACTCACGTTACGCATTTAATCAGTGCGTTTATATAAATAGAGGCGCATTTTTATTTAATTTTTTTTTGTTTTTTTTGTTTTTGTTTTTATACTTCCTTCATATACACTTACACACAGACACACTACTATGGATTCTACTACTTTATCAATTAAGAACGCCTCTGGAAAAACATTTAGTCTGTTAAATGACAACAATGGATTTATCGTAAATAAAATGACATCATCTATGAGTATACCCATTGCACCCAGAAGAAAGTATCACTGCTCTCAGCCTGGATGCAACAAAAGCTTCACTACCAGTGGTCATTTAGCCAGACACAATCGCATTCATACCGGAGAAAAGAATTTCCACTGTCTTCATCCTGGCTGTCCCAGCAGATTCTCACGTCAAGATAATATGATGCAGCATTATCGTACACATCTCTCTCAAAAGATTCGCAGACAGCAACAACAACAAAAGATGCTGATCAAACAGGAACCTCAGCTTTACAACCATTCCTTTTATGAAGCAGAAAATCTAGAGTCCTTCCAACCTCTTTACACTACCACGACGACGAGACAGAGAAGAAGTTTTACGATGCCTAGTTTACCTTATCCACCCATGATGATGATTACCGGTCACCGTACGCGTGCTTATTCCACTTCATCCTCTTGTTCTTCCTTGTCTGAAACAAACACCCTCTCTCCACCTACCTCTTCTTACTGCTATGGTAACGAGCATCATCAACAACAACAGCAACAACAACATCACCATCATCATCAACATCAGCCTAAACAGGAGCCGAAATCCAGCCTTTATCATTTGGCCAACATTGTCAGTACTTTCGGATAAATACTTTAAAAAGACATCCCTTTTTTTCCACTCATTTTTTTCCATCGAAATATCTCATGCCACACACACTCTCTCTCTCAATCGTTCTCTATTATGCCCTTCTTTTTTTCTTTCTTTATAGCAGCATTCTCTTGTAATTTTATATATATTTTGTAACAAACAACACAAAAAAAAAAAATACAACAACAACGACAACAACAAACTTGTACTTATAACCACTGTATAACCCCCCCTCCTCCATTTTTTTTTCATATATGCTATTTTGCTTATGCTCATTTTTATTTTTTATGTTGAATTAGTAGTATATTTTAGAATAAACCCTTTCTTAAAAAAAAAAAAAAAACAAAAAAATATAAAAGAGTAAAAGAGGCTGAGTCGTAATTAACTTGCCTCTCCTACCCCTTCTAAATGCAATGCGCATAATTGTCAAAAATAATTTTTTATTTATTTCAGGTGACTTGGAGCGTTATGAAATAAGGTTTTCCACATGTAGGCCTCAGACAATAATAATTCAACGTCCTTTTCTTGCCATCCCTGTGTTGGTAATTGTTGTAAAAATATCATGACGCCTTGAAAATCCAGTTTCTGTAACTGGTTCGACCATTTCACTAAAAACGCTGCACAGACATACACATGGAACTCTGAAAATCCTTCCGACGACCCCTCTGCTAAATAAGTATCCCACATGCGAATCGTACTACGCAAAGGGAGCTCACGCATCAATAAACAATTCATCCAGCGAAATGCAAATTGAATAAACTCGATTCCTTCATTTTGTAAATGACACGCTAAACGGGCTAAAAAAAAAAAGATAGTCTCTTTTTGTCAGCATTTACAACACACACACACACACACACACACACACACACACACACACACCACACACACTACCTTTTGTTTCTTCCCTCCCTCCCTCCCCCTCCCCCCCTTTTATAAATCATGGACTTACCATCAATACGTGTGACAAGCTCTTTTAGCGTTAAAATTTGCCTTTGAATACCAGGTTGGGCAAATGTATAATTGTCTTGAATGCCATCCAACAATTTGGATAAACACCAGAAACTATCTGCTTCAATCACGGACAAGACATGTGGATCCAACTGGCTCACATCATATTGTTCAGGATCTTCATCGATATAGGCCGAAAGAAACACTTCAAAGATGGGTGTGACTAAATCATTGATTCCTTGTACGTAGCCACTTGCTGGGTGTCGTATCGCCCATTGATATAATATTCTCTCCAGACACTAAACATGAACGGGGTTATTTTAGCCAAACTACCACAGAGAAAGAGAATAAAAAAAAAAGAAACTTACCAGTTGTGTGGCTTCATACTGATACAAGGGTATACCAGGATTAGTTCTGGGTATATCAATATGGATTTGATGCCATAAAGCTTGATCTAAACCTGCTGTTCCTCTTGCATACGTTGCAGTCACACTATCGGCATATTCCTTTCGTTTTCTGGCCAAGGTGATTTCTCTTCGTGCGGAATTACACGGTAAATAACCCAACAAAAGCTGCCATGCCATCATGCGTAGTTCTCGTGGTATACCACTCCAGCTGAGGGATCGCAGAGAGACTAAATCCACATTGGAAACACGGAGCACCTCTTTGAATTTTTTGGTACGGGAAGGATCGCGTGTGGCTTCCACGTCGAGCCAATTGAGGAGAAAGGTGGGGTCGAGCAAGATGTCTTGAACATGGTCTTTGATGCCGTCCCTCGATTTTTTGTTGTTGTTGGGTTGGGAACTAATGGTGGTGGTAAGCGGTGCGGGAGGTGACACAAGGCCTGATGGAGAGAGGTCGTTGCCTTTGGGTTGGTCATGCACGGAGGGTTTGGCCGCTTTGACTTTGGTAACAATGTCATCACTCCATTCATCATTGGTATCCTTCAAAAACGCGTTAAAGGATTTAGGGTGCGATGTACTTCGAACGTGGTTTTTTGTCGTTTTGGTGGTTTGGCCTTGCATAGATGGCGAAGTCGATTGTTTTCCATGACGAGGGGGTGACATGTTACTACTCATGGTGCTAGTCGTGGTGGTGGTATGGGCGTATTGAGAGGGTAACATGACGGGTAATGGGGTGGCATCATGATGGGTAACTAAACTATTATAGGTATATCTTGCTCCAATCACCACTGGTTGTTCTTGTCCGTTATTTGTCGTTGTTGTTGTTGTGGTGGTGGTGGTCCAACTAGGAACAATACTAACACTGAGTTTTTTTTTATTTATTTGTTTTTTAGGGTTTATTTCTTTTTTTTTGTTTTAGGGTTGGTTTGGGTCTTTTTTTTAAAACGTTTTTTTGCTTTTTTTTACCTTCCTGGTAGTTTCAGTCCTTTACGTTTCCAAAAAGACCTATGATAAAAAAAAAGAGGATGAGATGGTGGTTTCTTAAAAGTGTGTGTGTGTGTGTTTTTTTTTACATTTACTTTTGTGTTTCTAATAGAAATCGGGTTAGAATTCTTATTCCTTTACTCGAAATTTAAAAACTTACGTTGTTCCATTAAATTTCCAAAAAAAAAAAAAAAAAAAAAGAAAACTTGGAGTGGGAAAAACCATACCTCATCCCGTTTCATTTCCCCTCCAAAACTCGCTTACACTCCGCTTGACGTCACTCAAAAAAAAAAACTTAATTCTCGCTTTGTACAGGACGATCTCTCTTCATCATGCGTGGCCTCTGTCCGTTTCAAAAAGCCGGGATCAATAAAAAAAGAGAGACCTCATCATGGTATCTGACGAATCGTCTTGGCAGCAACGGGTGTGGTTACCATGACGTAGAGTTTATTATGTTTTATTCTTTATGCACCTTTTTCATGGTTACAAGTGCGGCATGATTTTTTTTTTTTTTTTGGCTTGTAAATATACCCTAATCTCTTTTTGCATACCGAGGGCTGTACATATTTGTTAACCATGCTCAAATTTTATTGGTGGGTTCATGTAAATACATATAGGTTTACACACCGTATTTCGCATACAGATATTATGTTCTTATAGAAAAGGCCCGACTTCGAGAAAGGTCTTAATCAATGTCATCGGCCTTATTGATTCGCTGCATATTGTTCGAGATCCTATATCTCTACACACGGGATTATATATATATATATCATCAAAAATGATACACTCTAATCATTTACTAATGATGGCGGAGATGCGTCCTATCTACATTCGTCCATTCATTTATTATCAATTAAGATTGAACAAACAACCAATAATTTTTCTTTTTTTTATTATTATTAAGGCCTCATGTCGACTATAAAAAGACATAAATTGGGTTGTGGCTCTGTTTTCGTTTGATTTACAATTATCGAGTTGCAAGTGGTGGCTGGGTAAATACATGGGATTTTAGGAGTGATGTAAAATTATACACAAGGAAGGGGGGAAACAAAAGGGGATTATTATTTTTTCTCTTGGCATCTATCGAAATAAATCGCATCCCCCTCTCCCACACTCATCATATAAACCCTTTAGTAAAAAAAGATGATTATGTAGGCTTGTTTATGATTAGGTTTTATCAGGCTTGGGGCACATACAATTCCATGTTTTTATGCAATGTACAAAACACGAGTAAGTCAAATTTAATAAGTTCCCCCATCTTGTCCATATGAATTAACGGCTATGAAAAATTGTAAATAAGAAAAAGAAAAAAAAAACTTCTTGGCGGCCCCCCCCCCCTTTTTTTTTTACTCTACGGCCCGTTCTATCTTCCGTTCATTAAGATCAACAGCAGTAATATGATGTAAAGAAATTAATTGTTGATCATGAAAAGGGTCCCTGAAGAAATCTAATTTATCATTCTATAAAAAAAAAAATTGCATTTCAAAATAAACATTCAATATAAATAGATTCTAATTGCAGACAAACACAAAAAAAAAAGGGGGGGGGGGAGACGCATCACCATGTTATATTTAGAGTCGCCCTTAGATTAAGGACACACATCAAATACATTTTTGAACTTTCTACATAAATAAAACCTGTTCTAAAAAAAGTCATTTTTATTCAGAAGCATGATCATGTACATTATGTGATATTGTCAATAGACACCTCCTTATGACAAATGGGCTGTTTTATTCTTTTTATCTAATAAAAACTAGTCTTACCAATGCACATAAATTTAGCATAACATAATAAAGTTTGCATGAATAAGGTACATGTGCGCAATGGCTGTCTTTTAAAAAAAAAAGAATCTTGATTGTTTGACATAACCTACAGTGTCTATTGGCCCAATACATAATTGGTTGTCTTGCCAAATATTCATTGTTTCGTACTATGGATACTTGAAGCAAATTTACGCAGAATTGTTTTTTTTTGTCCTTCTTTTTTTTTTTTAAAAAAAAAAACATATCAGAAAAGAAACTTCTGCAAATCTCATCTTGAGCACATCATGATATTGCTCCCAGAAACTCTATGTCGAGTGTTTAACTGAAAAGCCAGCCTAGCAACTACAACAAAGGATAGAAAGTTTTTAATAGAAAATGTAGACTTAAATCGGGAATGATCTTAGATGTGCAAAGTACTAAATGATGAAGGTACATTATACTAAAAGTATTCGAACAAAAAAACATATTCTAATCCTTAAATTTATGTTGTTCGTTCATGAAGAAACTTCACACTTCTGTCTTGGACCATCATCCCCAAGATCCTGCTGGTTTGATCTCCCGAGAAGTTACCAAATGATAATAACAATATCATTATTTTATTCTTTCTTTTATCAAATAATGAAAAAAAAAAAGGGCGCTTTTCAAGTAGGAAAAAAAAATATTCTCGTAAGAGTTAACTTGATAACTGTGTGTGTGCTTGTTACAATAAAATTTAGCCTGTTGCGATTTCTCTTTTTTTTTAAAATAAGATCGGATTGATTTGTCATTTTCCAGTTATTGATACGGAATGAGTATTCAGACATCGTAAAACCAAAAATTCTGACCATTTGAATATAAGCTTTTACCCTTAATAGGTATTGTCGTTATGAACGGTAAAGGTATGCTGCACTTCCTGACAAAAAAAAAACCAGTGGCACTTTTTCTCTTTTTTTCAAATATATTTTTATTTTATCGTTGCTTTTGAGATTGGGGTTATCTTCATAGCAAGGTGTTCCCAAAAAAAGAAGTCAGCAAGCATCCGAGAAAGCTATAACCAACAGGTAAAAAGTTAAGTTTCTCTCATGTGTAAACTCAAGCCCATGAAAGGGCCGAGGGACATGACTGATTGAAGAACCCTTGACCTTTCTGCCACCTCATTTTGTTTTTATCAAACAGTGCTCATCATGGGTATTCTAGTCTCTTGAAGCAAAACCTATGTGTTTGTGACAGACAAAATACAAACAGACCAGCATATTGGCCATGATTTTTTTTTTCCTGGTGGCTTTTTATACGCATTTCCTTTATGACTGATCTTATATCATGCCCTCTATCCACAACAAATATGCTTCTGGGTTGATTATTTAAAGCGGATCGTTTTTTTTTTCAATTTTGATACAAGATGGTTTTTTTTTTTTTTTTATTCGTAATATCAGAAAAATAAAAGCTCGCCTTGGAGCATGATTGCTTTCAATCATCCATTCCTTCAATTGACTGATTTATTATTTCACTCAATTTGACCGTCTCTATTTCATTCATGTCTTGACCACTTGTATTTCTTTTTTTTAACTTTATTGAAGATTCAATGAAAGTCACACGCCATAATGAGAGGTATGTAGTGATAGTAAAGTCATATAATGAAGGAGGGGTTAAGATGCGAAGAAAGACGTTATGCTGGTTAATATACAGTGACTGACAATTAAAATCCGCCCAAAATTTTCTGTTTTTTGGGAAATGTCAAAAGTACATCCCAGTAAAATGTTCTCTAGTGGACAACTTACTGTGGCAACGTGCCTTTAAAAATTTAAACAGCATACTCTAAGATGTATAGCACAACTTATAAAAGTTCAATAAAAAAAAGTTCAATATATCTGGTGTTGCCTGCTTCGGCTTCGATGACAGCCTTGCATCGGACGGGCATTGAAGAAACGAAAGCCTCCAAGTATCCAATGTTAATGTTCGACCATTCGTCTCGAACAATGTCCTCCAACTTTTGAATACTTGTAAACATCTATTGAGCGCTTATTCAAACGAAGAGTGAGGTATCTCCGTATATGCTAAATAGGGTTTAAATCAGGGCTTCTAAGTCGACATGTGTCAAATCCGGTTACCATGGTCTTTTGCTTATATCCACTTGGCATAATTGCCTGTGTGGATTGGCGCACCTATCTTCTTGGTATATAAAGTCTCTGTTATAGATAAAACATTGATTTTTGATCCAAGAAATAGCATAATTTGACACTATCGTGATGTACTTATCTTGGGTCGATTATGCCTCTCAGAAGGACGAGCGGGGCCCAAACTTTTTGCGTGAAAGCAACCCCACATCATCAACGATCCATTGTCAAATTTCCAAAAGTTGCAACTCTAGATCTCTCCTTCAGACCTTCTCCAGGCTTTTCGGATGACTGCAACACCAGCTGCACCTCTTCCAAGTCTAAACATCGACTCATCGGACCAAATTATTACTGACACCCACTGTTCGGAGAACCAATTCACCTTATTCTTACACCACAAAAGCATCACTTTTTCTTTTGGACATCCGTAAGAAGGGGGGTACTTCAGTGATTTTACATTGCTGGAACCCCATTTCCTTGATGCATTTGTGGTATGTCGTCAAAGATACCTTCAAACCTGACGTTGACCGCAGCTTCATTCCTTATAGAATAAAACCAGTTACTGTGTTGTTTAGAAACGTTCATTAGCAAAGTGTGAAAGTAGTAAAACTAAAATTTTATTAAGCTAGATGTACAAACAGAAGCATTACGCTTTGCACCGATGGCGAAAGCACTGAAGAGGTAAGTTGGGGGTTAATGAAGAAAAAGACATTACAATAAATAGTTGAGTCTTGAAAGCCTTATTTACTGGGTGACTATATTTAGCCTATGTCCCCCTATCAGTAGCAACTAGCATTTTAAATTAGTTTGTAAGAAAAATCAGAAACCAAAGTGAACCCTTACAAATTCCAAGCTTTTCTTCCTTTTAGCGCTTCAACATCGTTGGGTGCTGTCACAACAGACCTTCTTTGTACCAAACCAAGAAGCTCTGAGCTACATTCACAGCAAAAAGCACTTGCATGAAATACTTACAGACATCTGTTTAGTTTCAGTTGATTGTTTGCGTACAAAATTATTAGCAGCAAACAACTCTAATACAATTTCAGTTGGTAACTGTTATTCATTTTGCATACAAATTTGTTTGCAGCAAAAATTTAAAAGAAAAAAGCAAAACAAAACCAGTTGGTGACAATTCAAGCAAACTTTGGTGGCAAAAACCACAACAAATTTGAGTCAAACAAAAAATCAGCTATAGGGTAAGGGCTTTATCTTCATTATTATTCGTCATGAAAAGAACGTATCTGCCTAAAAAAAATATAAGTAATAGTAAACCCCATAAAACAATATTCTGTATGTATTGAATATGCTTTTTTTTAAAAAAGCTACATTGTGCAGAAAATTAGTGAAATAAAAAACACGCAGGGAAGTAAGTAGTAGACAAAATAAATTTTGTCTGCCTGAGGCTATTCAAATTTTAAAAGTCATGTCAAGCCACCCGACTGGGCAAACTGCATTCCCTCGCTCAATACGCGACTCTCAAAAGAGTAAAAAAATCTGGGGACCGGGAAAAGGCTGGATTGCAATGAAAAGAAGGGCAGTAAGGAATAAAAAAAAATCTGAGGGGGGGGGGGGGCAGAAAAAGGCTGGGTTGCAATTACAAGAAGGGCAGTAAAGAGTAAAAGATCTGAATACAATCTTCAAGCGTGAAAAGGCTGGGTTGCGTAACTCATTTCTCCTAAATAAGCAAGGCTTTACTCGTTGAACAAATCTCTTGAGCTTGTTACCAATTTTATAACCACTTACTTTTTTCATATGCGTATACAAATGTGTTATCAGTACATAATGGATTCTATTAGATCACCAATAGCTTTTTTAGGATGTACTCAGAAACTCTTTTCATGACTAGCTGTATGAAGGTAAAGTGACCATTTCTCCCTTTAAAATAAGTTCATCATTTACATCAGACCGTCCATCACAGACCCGAAATACCAAAAAGAAAAAATAACGCACAATGATAGACGCAGGTACAGTGTCGTGATTGAGGCTATATACTTAATATATGACTCTATCACTTCTTAAATCTTCCATTTGATAATCCTAAATATATCTCTTATCGATACTTTACATTAAATACTGATCATTTACTTTATACACAGGCTTGATCTCATATCATCCTTCATACAAGTATAAGGCGTACTCATTTAAAAAATAACATTAATTTAAAAACAGATGAAGGTTACATTAGCCACAATGAGGTGCCACAGCTAGCTTTATTAAGAACTACAATTTCCCCTGAATATTGTGCTACAAGATATGCACAGTTTAAGGATGAATGTTATTGTTATTGTTATTGGCATCTCATTATGGTCTTTCTTTACGGGATCATTACATCCGAGTACTATCTGGATAAATCTACCCACAATCGTCATCAGCCTGTCTGTTATTAATGTCTGAAATTATGTGCATGTAAAGACCACCTTTTATTTGTTCAAATCTTTATCAATTTCCACATACAGCCACTTTCAAATTTCTGGGTCATTTAGGATCGGGTACCTTCTGGCTATTCCAAAGAGTTGGATTTTTCAGGAGGCCCTGTTACACGCACTGGAAATAAACCAAATATAAAATTTTTATATGCTACCTGTCGGATTGTGTCAGCCATTCATAGTTGAGATAAGTCTTTTAAAACTATTTTATCAGACTCATGAAACCCCTCCTTCAAAGTTTTGTTCCTTGGGTTTTGCGATACTTTTAGTTTCCTGCTCAATGCCCTGTAACATAGTCAGACGCGTGCTTTTATTTTTGTTTCCATTACTGCTCAAAAAAATATTTTCTGTACTGAGCTCATAAACGTTCATTCTCGATAGCTTGAGTATGAGAACCCCGCCTTCCATTTTTGGCGGCTCTTACTTTAATATAATAAGGGCAATTGTATTTACAATTGTCCTTTTGACGTTGACGATTAGTGTCTCAAAGCTATTTTCGAGGGCAAAGTTTTTAATAAAATTGGTCGTGATTTCTTTGATGGCATTGTATGTTAATATTGGCAAAAGAGCAGACACTTTCAAAAATTTTAAAATTTATTTTGATTTCTAGAGAAAAGAAGTTGTTTCATTTTTACAGAGTGTAAGGCGATTAAGGGACAGCCACTACCGCATGTGATCTCTTAGTAACAGCCAATAGGTTTCCGATCCCAGGCTGTCACTACGCTCACTTTGGCTGTATCTAAGGTGTAATTTCTGGCACAACATCTCTCCGGAGGAAGGGCCCACTGTTTACTTTGCGAAATATCTTTTTTTTTTTTTTTACTCTTACAAGAATAAGGATAACAATATCAATTAAAATAACGTTTAAAGCAATTTGTTCCCATCCGTTTTTAGAAGAGACTCAGTGTGTTTATCACACACAGTCTACCGAAAGCCTCAAAACCTTGACCTTAACTTTGGTTGGTCATTGACGAAAGAGATTTCTATAAAAAGAAAAGAAACCTACAGAATACGAAAACAATCACCGTATCGTAAAGCGCTATTAAATGCCCTAACTTTTTTTTTCCAATATACTTGCTGGCCGCCTGTCGAAATTGCTTGTATTAAGAACAGCAACTGTCATAACATTAAGTTATTAGGGCTTTTGTGCTTTCAATTTAAAGATCCCCCTCCCGCCGCAAGCACAGTTTAAGTTAACCAAAAAGAGAAAAGAAAACAAACAAATTCTTCTTTCTTTATATACAGATTTACATCTGTTGCCATTCTTTTACAGTACACCCTGTGGGGAAACTTTTAACTTAATTCACATTCTCGAGATTACACCATTTTGGCCCAAATCCCTTTTATATTCTCCCGCATCAATCCCTCAAACTGTTTACAGTAGACATATATGTTTATTTTTATTGGTACCTCTATTACTTTTCATCGCATTATTTTCGTATTTCTTGTCATCCTCATATCATCAAGCCAAAGCATACCTCTATTTCCTTGTATACTACACCCTTATCCACAATGTATGCTCTATGTGTCGTATTCATTTGCCCTCTCGTGTTATGCTTCTCATGTTATACTTGATCTCGTATTCACCTTCTGCTTTTCTTTTCGTGGATTTGCTGTATTTTGATCGCACTAATACTTTCTGACCTTGTCTCTCTTGCTCTCCTTTGTCTGATTACACCTATTGTACCTCGTGTTGCAAATAAATAACTCGTAAAAGGAAGACCAGCCTTCAATTCTTTCAAGCCTTAAGGAAATTTCGTCATTATCTTCATTGTCTACAGACAGCCTATAGCAATTGCCTATAATTCCAAATTGTCGTTTGGCGATCCTTTCCCAAAGATCATGGTATCTATCATGAGAATTTATTGGTGATCCGTTGCAGTTATAAGTTTCCTGATCTCAAGTTTCAGTTGCTGGTTTTATTATCCCGGCTTTAATCCACTAGTCTAAACCAGCAGGCCATACATTTATCAAAATGAAGGTCAAATACCTGATAAACAGTACAAGATGATTTAAACTATGGGAAGCTAAAAACGAAATTAGAACAAAAATAAAAGCGAACCCCCATGCCTGTATAATTACCTGTTTAACCTGGTTTTAAAGGTGGTATAAAAATGGAAAGTTTCCTACACTTTTTCTTGCGAGATTGTGGGGAAAGAAAAGAAAAAAAAGGTGCGGTTTTTTTTTTTGATTTTTTTTTTCAACTGTTGAAAAACCTTTGTTATACCCAGAAATGTCTAAAGCAGAAAGACTCTGTCGCGTTAAAACACCTGGCTGTCTATCATAGAAACGAAAACTGCAAACGCACACTAATGCTGTTCGTAAAAAGATCAGGTACGCTCTCTTGGAATGATGGTCATTCCTTAGCCATTTTTTGCGCGGTGTACAAAAATAGAAGGAAACGCAACGTTCAATTTTTAGCCTAATATGCTGTGGCCGATAAATACGCCTGTAAGACTTGATGACGTGAAATGGCTCCAGCTACACCTCACGTCGTACATTCCACCTTTTCAATTTTTAGGTGCTTATTTTTATTCTTTCACCAAGAAGACATTCAACAAGCGTAAGTCTAACAAAAGGCAGAACCAACAAGGGAAATAAAACGCTCCAATACCTTTTCCGTTTCCATAGATAACGACTTTCACCATTATGGATTAAATCGACACAATTTTTCCCTCTCTTCTGAATTGAACCACCCCCACTACGAATGATAGACAGTGCTTAAAAGACATAGACAGCCCACATCAACAATAAATGAACAGCTACAAAATAATAACATAATAAAAGCAAAGAAAGATTTGAATGAGTTCAAATTAAATCCGGAGGAAGTTCCTGCAAAACCTTTGGTCGTAGTACCTTTATAACCTATTTATACTTGAATCATGTGTGATCAACAGGCACAAACACACTAGTAGGTTGTCAAGATGTAAATCGTTTGAGGTGAGTTATTTTTTGTGTCAAATGGGATTGGGATACTTATTCTTTTATGAATTCGTCCTAATCAAAATTCCGTCCCAATCCTTGACATAATGCCAACAACATGACAGCTACCCATACATCGATTTATCATTAAAGCATGCGTATGGCTAAAGCAGAAGATTGGACTTTTATATATAAACACTCGTAGAAGATGGCATAAATTTTATTTCATCATGTTATCTGGAAGTTTATTTATCTCTATAAAGATCAATTGGTGATTAGAACATTTAATCAACCGAGGAATTCCGTATTAATTAGCCGTGATTTAAGAACAATAAAAATGGATCGCTCTTAATTTAATGGATGTAGAAAATGGAAAACATACACGGGTATTTGGTGGTGAAGTAGTATATGCGAATGGTAAATTACACGCCACAAAGGAGCAACAAGGATGTTAATAATCATAACTATCCAGTGTAAGCCAATTTATTCATCACAAAAAAAAAAAAGCAGAAATCACATTTGACGAGGTTGGAAGTTCATTTCATTTGACACATGTATTCATCACCAAACACAGAGTTTGTGTGTATAATTACCGGGGAAAAGAGAGTGTCGCTGTCTTTAGATCGTCTACCATGTCCTTTGTACAACAAGTCTTTTTTTTTTTTTTTTTTTTTCTACAGTATTATCAGTCTGATTATCAAGAGAAAAAGCAGGGTCTTCAAAGTGTTCTTGTCCTTTACTTCCTTGAATTATTGCATCGGTTACATCAAATGCAGTTGAGTTGGGTTTCTTTTTTTTTTGTAACCTCAACAGCAAACAATCGAACCTTATTTATATTTAGGTAATGTGCTTCTCCATAATTAATGGCTGTCGGTAGGTTTAACCTTGATCGACTGCTTTCCAGTTTGGTCACAATGATAACTTGAGGGTTGATTGCTTCATCAAAGAAAAGATCAAGTGTATTCTTTTTCTCAACCCGTGAGTAGTCTTGAGGATTCAGCTACTGAGAAAAAAAAGGAAAGCTCAATTTTTTGATGCGATACATCACAGAAATTTTGTATATGTTACCTGTCGGATTGTGTCATTTATTCACGGTTGAGATAAGTCTTTTAAATCTATTTTATCAGGCTTATGAAACCCCTCCTCCAAAGTTTTGTTTTTTGGGTTTTGCGATACTTATAATTTCCTGCTCAATGCCCTGTAACATAGTCAGACGCGAGCTTTTTTTTGTTTCCATTACTGCCCAAAAGAATATTTTCTGTACTGAACCCGTAAACGTTCATTCTCGATAGCTTGAGTATGAGAAACCCTCCTTCCCCTAGTTTTTGGCGGTTCTTACTTTAGTATAATAAGGGCATTTGTATTTGCAATTGTTCTTTTGACGTTGACGATTAGTGTCTCAAAGCTATTTTCATGGGCAAAGTCTTTAATAAAATTGGTAGTGATTTCTTTGGCGGCATTGGGTGTTAATGTTGGCAGAGGAGCAAACACTTTCAAAAGTTTCAATTTCTGGAAAAAAGAGTTCGTTTTATTTTACAGAGTGTATGGCGCCTAAGGCACAGCCGCTAGACTGTGACCACGTTCACTTTGGCTGTATCTAAGGTGTAACTTTCGGAGAGAGGCCGTAAAATAAGCTCACTGTTTACTTTGCGATATATCTTTCTTTTTTTTTTTTTTGCTCTTACTAGAACAAGGATATCAACGGCCGTTCCCTAGCAAACATTATTTTCAAAAACAAATCGCTCAATTTGTGAAAAAGAATAGCACCCCCAGTATAAGTCTATCTTATAATTATACTATACTCAGGAGAGCGATGTGGCCTATGTACAACCAGTGAATTAGACGTGATAATTTAGTAATTAGCAATACTATTTTAAGTAATGTCACACTTGTTTTTACTTTTTGTAATATATACCCCCCCTTCATATATTTGGCTGGTAAAAAAAAAATTGTTTTTGTTCCTAAAACGTGAAGAATTTGCTTGGAAACGGCCAACATCAATTAGAATGACGGTCAAAGCACTTATTTCCCAGCCGTTT